GCCGGGGAGGGGAGAGACGGCCTTTTGTTTCTGCCTCAGCAGTCCCCAAGGTGGTTTTCCTGTTTTCGCTGTCTCCAGCTGTGGAAAGGTTGACAACCACTGGTTTAGATGGCTCAGCTACATTCTATAGAGGAACATACTCCATCCACTTGTAGACAATTTGAACTGAGAGTAAATTCACTTCTGACCCCAAATGTGGTGGTCATAATCTTTAATACAAGTAGAGTTTGTCCTTAGAAATACTAAGGACAAATTCTAGTATTAGTCAACCTACTGGGACACCTGTATATCTGCTCCAACTTCAGTCCTGATTCCTGAACACCCTAGTATGTCTGGCTTATTCACCCAATACCGTATTTTCTCTGCTGACATAAATCCACATGGCATGGGATTTACAGCAGTCCTTGGTAGTGTAGTTATTGGCAGCCACAATTTCTGCCTACCGAGAACAACGTTTGGAACAAGCCGTCATTTAGACCTAGATTTATGCTTGTTTGTTCTTCAGAAATGAGCTCAGTAAACCATAAATTTCCCTTGAAAAGAAGAGTGCAGTTTGGAGGTATTTATGGACTAGAGACAGGAGAAAGAGCTAACTGAAGCTCATAAGTTAGGGCTTCTAAGGAGCAAGCGCGGAAGAAGCTCATTTGGGAAAATGTTCCCCACATCAAGAGCAAACTGATTCACCAGATAGACCCAAAGGAAGCTCCCAGGACAAAATGCTTTTGGGGATGGATATAAATAACAAGGAAGCTACTTCGAAAGCTAGACAGAGCTAATCTTCTATACCCTCTGTCCACATGGTAAATGTAACATTTAGCACATCCCTTAGCCTCCACATGTGGCTAGATTACAGATGATGATCTGCCACATATTTGTAGATACTTGTTTGTGGTGAGTTCACAAGTGGCATGAAGCCCTCTATATTTAACTCTAACTCTAAATTCTGCAGACTACTCAGCTGTATTGCTGTTATGAAACAGAACAGGAACAAATATCCAACAACATTGTTACATGATGGTATCAACAAAAGTTGACTATTTTAGTGAATTTTTGTTTTCTCCAAATTAAATTTGTTTTGAGAAGATTTTTCAGGATGTGGCAATTTCCAGTCAGAGCCCATGTAGTATATTCACAAAACTAATTCATCACCCAAAACCCACTGACAAAGTCATTCTGTATGGATGTTGCTACATTAAAAAAAATTGCTGCTGGGATCCAAACTACACAGTTAAAGTATCTCTACTTTAATCTTCTTTTTAAGGATTCTGTATTCACATCACATAGTTCCATTTTTTCATACTGCCCAAGCACTCTCACTGGTAGAAACCCAAACCCACCAGACAAGTCCTAAGTATGTTTACTCTGAAGAAAGTTCCATTTTGTTCACTAAACCGTAGTCCCTGGTTAGCATGTTTAGGATTGCAGCCTAAAACTCTTCTCATGTTGTAGAATCAGTTGGAAAGGAAGGGGTAGAATGGGCTTGGAGTAGGTAACTATAGGGCATCATGTTTTTGAATGCTCAGCTAAATAAGATATTGACCTGGTTTGCATGATATGACAGCTCACTTTGGGTTAATTTACCCACAGGGGCCTTCATATTGTTTTGGGCAACTGCAGATGCTATCCCTGCATGGCACTCACAGGTAACTCGCTTATTGTGCCATTAGAACCCAGATGGTAGGGATTATTTGAGTGTTAACCATCCTCCAAATATACCCTACAGCAAGGCAAGGTTATCTAAAATTAATTTAAATGCTATCATGCTGAAAGGGAATGAAATGAACATAAACCTGGAAAAATCCAAGAAAAACACAGAAAAATAGAAACAAAGAGAGTCAGAAAGGGTTTCCTGGGCCATCTCGTCTGAACCCCAACTCCAGCCAGCTCCGCTCATGTCATCCCCAACATGTGGTTGTCCAATCTTTCCTTAAACACCCTCACGATGGGGCCTCAACCACCTCCCTTGGAAGCCCATTCCGTAGCCTAGGAGTCCTAACCATCAGGAGGTGCTTCCTGACATCCAACCTGAAGTCTGACTCCTTGAGTCCCATTGGAATGTGTCCTGTCCTCCACTGCAGGGAAGAACAGGTCATGGCCCTCCTCCACATGATATCCCCTCACATACCTATAAGTTGCTAAAAGATCCCCTTGGAGTCTCCTCTTCTCCAGGCTGAAAAGACCCAGTTCCCTCAATCTCTCCTCATATGTCATCCCTCCCAACCTGGCTACCATTTCTGTTACTCCAGGCTGAAGCAATTCTAACCTAGCTATGTCTCTCTGATAATGTGGAGCCCAGAACTGGATGCAGTACTCCAGTTGTGGGCACATAAGAATTGTGTAGAGGTATCAACACCTCCCTAGATCTGGAAGCCACACATCTGGCTATACATCCAAGGGTGGCATTAAAAAGACATGTCCTTCTGTATTTACACCAAGGTATACATGATCCTTTTCTTCCTGTACTCATACTGCTAAGTCCTCCCTTCATACAGCCCATTGTTAGACAAGGAGGTCTCTAACCATGTTTCCGATTTTACTGGAACCAGAATATGTCTTTATTAGCTCCAGAACAAGCCAGTTTGCACGAAGGTTTGGATATTTAATATCCTGACTTTTTGCTTTCAAGTATAGTTAATTGGAGACTCCTTGGTTTATGCCAGAGCAGCAGGAGCTATGTGAGGAGCAAAAACATTTGACATATTTCAACTAGCCTTCTCTAGTTTGCAACTGACAGGGAAGCTGCTTGGTACATTGTTGCTATTTATTTATTTATGTTGTAAGTTGTAACTTTTTATTGTTATACAGTACAGTGATTTTTAATATTTTTGCATGTTGACCACTTAGAGAGTTTATTATATTATACAATATATAAATAGTGCATATGTATATATGAGGGAATAAATTCTAATGCATGCATGGATCTGGCCTCCTCTGCAAAGCTGATTTTATTCTATTTGAAATCAATAATTCCTTAACATCCTGCCAAGAGCGATACATAAATCACTCTATTTGTGCTGAACACAGGTCACCTAGGACACATTTCCACTGCATTGTATGAGCTTTTAATGAGATGCGATCCCTCGCCAGCCTGCAACATTTTCCCCGAGTGACCCTCGCTGCAAAGGCCATCTCTCATTTTAGATCCAAGTTTGCCTCCATTCCATATACATAACATCTCCGTTCTTGTAAGAATTTAGCATGGGTGAAAGGTGACAGATTTACAACCCCAGCAATGAGTTTGAGTCAGAAAAGAACAAAGTAACATGACTTTAAAAAAAAAGCCAGTATATCACACTTCACTCATAAAAGGATAACCGGTGTAAATGACGGCCATATTAAACTTGTTGCCCTTGGAGCAGCCACAATGAAATTGGTATAACAGACGAGTCCCACCCTCCCTTATAAGCTCCTTAAACCAAGGGGGAAATACCAAGGCAAAACCGGGCATATAAGGACCTTCTGTGAAAAGTCCATAGAGAATGACTCCTGCCAAACAGAGCTGGAGTGAAAGCTCAGCACAGTCAGGCCCTTGTGAGGACAAGGCCCACTGAGAAAAGTCCCTGCGGCCTGCTTGTTCACTCGCTCCTTGCTCTAGCCCAGACAATCCCACTGGTGTGAGGGAGGAGCAGGAGATGCTCTGCCTGCTTGCTTATTGCCAGGGGAGTGCTAGGCACTAAAAGATCCCAGGCTCAGGCCCATAAGGCAAAAAAGTGCAGCTGGCAGTTGAAAACACATTCTGGGGCAAAGTACTGGCTCAAATGAAGACTATGTTCATATGTATACTTCCTTCTGAGTAAGCAATGATTTATTTCATAACCAAGATGCTATTTCCTTTTATCCCACCCTTTCCTGAGGAAGCCCAGGCAGCACACGGATCTCAAGGCATCCACACAGCAAACCTGGAACACGTTGCACTGAGGCAAATCCCCCCTTTTCCCTTTTTCCCCTCCACCCTAGAAAAGGCTATGTAACTGTCTGAGTTCTTCTCCCCATACGTGGCACTCACACCCTCTGGAAAGGTGGGCATATCTTTGGGGTATTTAAATAAATCCATAGCTAGGTCCAGCAGCCATGCCCACCTTCCTCAGCTGGGCAGAAGCCAAATCCCAGACTGCGCCAGCCATGCATGTGGGAATAGGCTGCCCCTTGTCAGGGAGGAGAGACGGAGCCTCCTCCTCGCTCTGATCGTTGCCGGCACGGCCTCCTCACCATCTGCAGGACAATGCAGCAGTGTTCGAAGGCCACTCGGGAGAGAAGGTGAGGCAGGAGCAGACTTCCCGTGAAGGTGCCCAGTTGCTCTGTTGCCACCAGTTACCTGTGGGGCCTCATGCAATCACCTGTCTGCTCCTGCCACCACTGTGCATTGCTCCTTGGCCAGGTAGAAATGACGAAGAGGAGGAGCAGCAGGTGAAAACATGTTGGTGAGCAGACTGTTGCTCTGAGTCAGAGCAGCCTATTGGAGGCGGCCCAAGCACCCTCCAAAACCCCTCCTCTCCACCTGTATTTGCATTTTCTTGATGATGATTTTAGAAAGACTTGGCGACGGCATGGGCAGTGGAACCAACCATCCTAACTGCGGACACAGAAATTCAGCAGCCATATTGTGTAGCAAGAGTATATCCAAGCAGACGTGTATCCTCTGAGTCCCAGTATCTTGGACACCACAGTCCATCCCTAGTGTTTCCACTGTTAATACACTCCACTAATAAATGGCAGCTACCTCTTCTATGCACATAAGGAAAATGGTGAGTGAGAGACAAGAAAGTTGGTCAGTCTTGGCCTATCCCCACTTCTGGGATGGAATTTCATTATTGTTGAAAACCTGTTTTAAATGGTTTAATTTTAAGCCTAGGAACATATGTCTGATTAACAGCTTCACAAGAAAGCATTCTGTGGAGGTATACAAAATCCTGCTCTCAGTGGATCCTGGTGAGCTACGGAGTATGATATGAAAGAACACAAAAGTTAATAAATGAAGGCAGTGAGGAAATCGCCTTTACCTAGATGAAGGATCATTGTGTCTAGCACCTTCACTGCTGCATTATAAATCCCAGAATTCTTTGAGTTTAAGTTGTCTGTGACTACAGTCACCATGGAGACCAGGACTGGATTTAAGCCATCTTTAAGAATGGGAATCATGGAGGCAACTGATTCTAATGCATATTGGTTCACCTTCTTGTTGGAGTCCTGAAGTCTCAGGGCAAAAGCGTCAAAGATCTGTTCATGTGAAAAAAACACACCAAGTAAATCCTGTCATAAATAGCATACTATATTGCACACATGGAAACATGAGAATAGAGACAATTGTGAATCTATTTATGAAAACATTTTCATGCAGCGCTTGCATAGTCAAGACATCTTTTGCATTTACCATCATTTCTCAATATATAGTAATGAGAGATAATTCCCTCTAGAAATAGGAGTGATATAAAAGCAAAAAATAGGAAATTATAAAACCAAAATAAGAGTCATACTGGTAGTGCCCCATGGGGTACTATCCTTATCTAGGTTTTGTACAGCAGGACACACGTGGGACTTTCACAAAAGTACAGCTCTGAGGATCAGCAATACATAAGAAGAGCTCTGCTGGATCAGGCCAAGGGTCCTTCGAGTCCAGCAGTCTTTTCTTACAGCCTCTTTGACATGATTGTAAAAAACAACTGCCGAAAAACTGGGATTCCTACATCTTACAGTACAAAGGGAGTACAAAGGTGAATCTCTGAATATTTTCTCAGGAAGCAACTACAAACTGGATACACAAAAGCAAAGGTAACCATGTTATCCACAAGAAAAAGTCCCAAATCCATTTTAATGCTTTTCTGAGACTAACATAAAGATACTAAATTGTATGTAGACTCTGTATCAGCTCAGGCTAGGTGGTAAACAAAGCAAAAGAAGAAGGACTGGGGGGTGGGGGGAGTGAATAATATTGATGCCGAAGAGTCTGCATTTAGTCACAGTCTAACATGGAACATGTGGGGAAGTTGCAGACATTCAAATCAAGCTAAGTGGAAAGAAGCAGAAGCAACCTTAAGGGTACAGTCCTATGGCTTGTGCCCCTGCTGCTTGGAAGCCACCAGTTTCAGAAGTTTCCAAGGTTCCTATATGTTGCCAGGCTGAAGCCAGGAGGCAGGAGCAACTGTGCAGATCTTTGCATCTTTTGCTACACAGGCTTTTTAACCTGTCTAGCAGGGGCCCTCTGGAACAGGGCAGAAGAAGGCTGGAGGAAATCCAAGATAAATCATATCTTTGCTGCTCCATCTAAACCCTTATCTACTCAGCAGAACATCCTTTTGGTGAATTTTTTGATCTTGTAGAGGCTACTGGTTTCCACTCTAACTGCAAATGGGTATAGGAGGAAAGTTGGAACTCTGACCCTCCCACCCAAGGTTGGAGCACTGAGAGAGAAGATTCCAACCCATCCTATGGCCCCTGGGATACCCAACTTGGGTGCACAGGATTGTTCTAAATTAATTAAACTGAGGAAAAATTTGCGACCTAATCCATCCTCAGCCTGTCTCAAGGACACTGGCATTCAGGTGGCTCTCAGTACCTACCTGGATGATATTTGAAGAGACAAGCTGAGGGTTGTTCTTGCAGTGCTCTGTCAGCAATGTTATTCCCTGCATTCGTATCTGGAATTCCTTGGCCATCAGCAGCTTGTTCAGCTCCTTGAGCTGCTCCATCACTTCAAGGCTGCGAAGGGATGAGCGACGCATCATGGGCTGTGGCAGAACGAGGGAATCACAGCTGGACCTGGTGTTGAGGATTAAAGATAGTCAAAATCAAGACCTTCTGTTAAATATATTTAACATAACAATATTGCATTATGCCCAGTGTTAAACTGAGACGCTGTTCAAAATCGATAAGGCAAAGGTATTTTGAGTGTGTTAATGACTTCATCTGCATAATAAACGCTGAATGCAAGGTTATTGGTTGTGTCAAACTGGAAAGGCTTGTCAGACATAGAGCTAGGAAAGTTAATGAAGGCTGAGGTGAGGAATCTGGAGACCAAGGCCAAGGTCGTTCATGCTATTGTATTTCTAATCAATGTGCATGGTGTGAAGACTGGACAGTGAAGAAAGCTGGCAGGAAGAAAATTGATGCATTTGAAACATGGTGCTGGAGGAGTGCTTTGCAAATACACTGGACTGACAGAAAGACAAACAAAGGGGTCCTAGACCAAAGCAACGCAGAACTTGTCCTGGCAGCAAAAATGATGGAACTTAAGTTGATATACTGTGGGCACATCACAAAAAGGAGACACTCACAGGAGAAGACAAGAATGCTCAGGAAAGTCACAGGCAGAGGAAGAGGAAGGCCAAATATTAAATCGATAGATTTCATAGGAAGCCAAAGCCTTGCATTTACGAGAGTTGAGCAGGGCTGTCAAGAAAAGGATATTTTGGAGGGCCACCATAACAAGCTGATGGACATTATGATGGTAGATGGTTTATGAAGAAAGTAAGGGACCAGGATTTCAGAAAATGAGCCATTTTTTCCAAGTAATTTTCAGTTACTGAATCTTCTGTCCTACAAGAGTCTTTTCAGCAACCATCAGGATTAGATGAGGGGAATGTTTACAGAAGGAAATACAGTGAGCAAAATAAGGAAGAGAAAGGACCAAGCCCTTGCCTTCGGTATGGGTAAAGTCCAGAAGCCCACCTGAAATAGCCAACTGGATTTGTTTAAAGTGTACACAAGCACATGGACTCTACCATAAATAGCAAAAGAGAAGAGGATACGTCATACCCTTCCTCTGAAGGCAGACTGCCCGGGGAAGTTGTCAAGCTGCTGTTCTTTGATCCTCTATGGCTTTTGGCAGAAGGAGCTTGGGATATCTGGTCCTCTGTCCCCTGCAGAGAAACATATAGACATTTTGACAGTGCTGAGAAATTCACATTTCATAAAGGACAAGTAGTAGCATTTTTGTAGCATGTCCCCTTTTTCTGCAATATTTGAAAAAGAGGCAAATGCACACAGATGCATTGCTCATTTCTACATGCCAAAGACTGCATCTGAGCTTCCGATCCCACTTTCAGTCCAGGTCTTTCCAAAATACCACTATACTCACTTTTTGCCTGATTGCAGCCATCACATCATGCAAGTCACGTGACGGTAGACACTGCTTCAAGTACCCATCAAATTTTGAATGGGACATAAGTATGTTCAGCATCTTCCGGCCATAAAATCTAACAATGGAAGAAAAAAATTAATCACTAGGAAAAATTGAGAGCAGAAAGTGGCATTTGGTTAATTAAATGCTATTCTGATAGCCACCAATTTGGACAGTGTTAAAAGCTAAACATGGCTACTAGTCAGGGTGGTTATATATTATCTCAAGCATGAGAAGCAGCATGCCAGTTGCTGAGGAATGCAGCCAGGAGGAACAGTTGTGTTCACCTCCTGCTTGTGAGCTTCCCATGGATATCGGGTCAGTCAGAATAGTACATTAGATAACGTCTTTGGTCTGCTCAGCAGGCTCTTCTTATGTTCACATATCTTTTTTGTGTGCCTGAATGTATGTGTTTGTCTTCCAAAGTAAGTCTTAACCTTATTTGTTTTTGACTAGCAAACTCCTTGGGAAAATAATGTCAACCATAAACAATGGAAAGTATTCAGAGGGTCGTGGGGGAGGAGGTATCTGCTCTTACCGTGTGTCTTGATTGCAGTCCTGAGCAAGCTTGACCAGTGTCTGCACCAGCAGCTCTGTGCTCTCCCGGTTGCCCGAAAGCAGTTTTTCAGCCCCGATCTGCTCCACAACGGTCAGCAAGTGTTCAGCAGCACATTTCCGAATGAGGGCATTGCGGTGGCTGAAGGACATTGATCAAAATGGTCAGAAACACAAGACTTGCCTTGACTAAGTCATCCCAAGCCCTCCTCCCCTTCCCTGCATGCTTTCCTTGGAGTAGGAGTGAACATTTTTCAAATGAAAGTCAGGAGAAATGTAAGTGGGGCTGCAGCCTGTGATGGGCACAGTCAGAGCCAGAAGCAGGTGGAATTTGCAGGATTTCATAGCTCTCTCTTCTCATTTCATCTCTACATCTCATGCACAAATATGCGAAGTGGAAGAACAAGCCATTCTCAGGTGGGTGGTCCAAGAGCAGCCCAAAGAAGCCTGTGCATCTAGGCTGAGGACCACATTTCCTGCCCAGGGCCAGCTCCCAGGGCCAGCTCACGGGCTCTTGCCTCCATGAATCTACCTTTCCATTGCCACTCTCCCCAGATGCCATTGCTCCTCAACCCTTTCTCATCATCACTACTACTTGTTTGCTTGATAGGCAGGGAAGCAGAAGGCAAGGAAGCAGCAGCATCTCCTCCATCACCATTGTCCAGGCCAGTGAGAGAAGCAGGGCGAAGCAGCAGGTTGCCATGGCCAAGGGGAGGAGCCACTTTAAGGGAAGGAGCCATGGTCTTTTCAGTGGGCCACCACTTCAGTGGACGCTCCAGAGGTGCCTATCCCTGATGCTGGCCCGGACCCTACTACAGCTTAGAGCAAGGATGTCATCGGGAATGATTCAGGGGCCTTGGTAGTCCCTTGACGGGCACCTCTACATGATACTTAATCCAGTGATTTACTGAGGCCTTTTCATTTTCCTTGTGGGAGAACACAAGGTGGCTTACAAGATTCTCCTCCACTCCATTTTATCCTCACAATAACTGCCCTGTGAGGTAGGTTTGGCTGAGAGTCCATGACTGGCCCAAAGTCGCCCAATGAGCATAGTAAACATTGGAGGACAGACTAACAAACATGTAGCATGTAGAAGTGGAATCTGATATTGGCCAGTGTCAGCAGCCATGTACTGAATGCAGAGGATGTGGGGAGCAGAACTGGGGCTGGGGCAGTAGTTTGGGCCAATTCATTCAATGCATGTGTTTACATCATGTGCGTATGTGAATACCTGTGTGCATTGTGACTGAGGATGTGTGTGTTGTGTCTGAGTATGCATGTACATGAATGCAGGAGGGGGGCTGCCCACTGTTGGTACATGGGCATGAGGAATTACAGCCACTGGGCTTAAAAAGGTTCCCCACTCTTATAATAACTCATCATATAGATTTTGTCAGCCAACACCACTCTCCTGTTCTTCCTGCCCTTTCCCTCACCACTCATAGGGGCACAGGAATCTCACTGCCAACAATTGTCCATGCCCTGCAAATGCTTAGTCTCCCTGTGGATGCCCATAACTCACTAAGGACGCAATGACACACAGGTGAAAAGGCATTTTACATACTTCACTCCATTGGCCATGAGGGCTGCCATTGTTCTGGAAGGCATTACACTCCGTGCCATGATGCCTAAGGATTGGTCAGCTGCTTTCTGGATGAAGTCACTAGAATCTCCTGCCTTCTGCAGAAGTACCCGAGATATCTCCTCAACTTCTTGATCCATGTGCTTCTTCATGGCCTTGAAGAGCTCAGCCAGTGTCTCAATAGCAAACCGAGATACTTTTGAGCGCAGGTTGTTAACCTGGTAAAGGAGAAGCTATGACTAAAGAGTTCACATGTCATATGTTCTCATTTTCTTTTGCAAATTCCAATACACAAAGCCAAGGCAAAATAGTGTACTTGTTAATATCTTTACACATGATGTCACTTTTCTTATCCTAGTGCGCCTGACAATGTGCCACTGAAATGCACAGATTAAGTAAATGCATTTCTGCCTAAAGTTGACTGTACATCTGTATTATGTTTCCATGATGCACTGGAACAATATGCAGTTGGTCCAATTTTGGGGTGCCTCTTTGTGCATGGGCATTGCAGCTTGCTGGTGAAATTCAAGGAAGGACCAGACCTGTAGACTTGAAAGAGGGCAATGCAACCACTCAGTAAAGGAGCTCAAATATAGCACATCAGTAAACGCATACCTGTGCATTCACAGAAGCCCTGTGCACCTGGAGACACTGGGGACATAGGTGGCAAGTATTACCCTGGCACTGCACCGCACTGAATCATTTTGCTAATGAAAGATTGAAGAGCCTGCTACAAACTGGAGATTGCTAATTTGATCTAGAATGGTTGAGCAGTCTAAATGAGGGTTTGGGGACTCCCAAGATAGTAAGATTCCCTGGAAGTCTCCAGACTCATATTTAAGATGACTCCAGGCTTACATTGCAGACCCCTGACCCATGGGCAAGAAGAACATAAAATTGTGACTTTATGCCAGTTCATCTTTTAGTGTTGTAATGCCTATATCTGAAACTTTAAAGAACTGATTTTGAAAAAGAGAAAAAGCAACAGCATTTTGCTAATGACTTTTTGCAGAGCGATAGCTGGGTAACACAAGCACTGACATGCAGAGCTACTGATAATAAGCAGTGGAGAACAGGACTGATTCATGTTCAGGTTTTAATGGTTGTGAAACACCCAGACAGCTCAGGCAGTATAGAAATGTAAAAAGCAAACTGCAGATGGAATACAATCAGCCACTTGAATCAGGGCAAAAATGAGCACCCACATTTTCAACTTCACTTTTCTAACTGTAAGACCAAATCTGACATAAGAGATGCATGAGGGATCTTCCAGCTTTATCTGCTTTCTGAAAGGCAGCCATGGGCTGCAGTTTGATTGGAATTACAGCAAGGCAAGGCAAGGCAAGGTGTGCTTAACCCTTTCTTCTCCTTATAATTTCTATTAAAATGACCTCTATGCAGCCTTCTACATCATCAGGGAAAATATATGGTGAACGTATGTCTTTTCCTATCCATCAGAAACAACCCCCAGCAGAAAAAGGACTTTGCAATCCCCCAACCTGGCTGCTTCTCTGATTGAATTCACAGCTTACCCTACCTGCATCATAGATCAAAGGGGCAAAGGATGCAGCAGGGCTCCCATTTCTTCCAAATCATACCCTACCTGGGATCTCTAGTCATGCTGGATGACAAGTTCCATCACTTCCAGAAAGCATGGCCATGATGGGAGTTGTATTCCAATACTTCTGAAGGGCACCAGGTTGAGTAATGTTGTCTTGAGCCTTTATCAGCCTTCTTCAACAGGGTACTCTCCTTTCTTTTTGGACTTCAACTCCAATGAGCCTCTGCTCATGTAATGATTAGGAATGATGGGATTTTTAGTTCCAAACATCCACAGTCACAGCTGGGACTACAAAATATCCTATGGCCATTATGCAGCTGTCCAGCAGCCACAGGATTATACCATTAGACCCTCAGCTTGGAGAATAACAAAGCTAGTTCTAACCTTAGGGACCTTTAAATTGAGCTCTTTTATAGGCCTTACTCCAATAATCTGTACAACTAACATATTTCCTCAACTTCTATATAAGGCTGAGATATGAAGCAGGGGCAGGGACAGCACTCTGTCACTGAGATCATCCAGAATGGTCTCCTGAAGAAGCACTTGGCCCTCCCTCCAGAGGCTCCTTCCACCTTGCTGAGCGTAGAAGATGGACTCCTGTCTTGTGAGACAAGAATCCAGAGCAGCACAATCCAGCATGGCTGCCTGAAACCCTCCGAACCCTCTGATGGAAGGTGAAAAGAGTATGGAGGCAAGGATTGTCTCTGTAGTTCCCTCACCCTTCAAAACAATAAGATGGGCAGTTCTGGCTCTCCACATGTCTTACACCAGCTCCTGAAGAATGGACCTCGACGCACTGCCAGCATTCCTCGTAAAGCAGTGGTTCTTTCCACCCACCCCCATGCCAGCTCCAAAGCCAGTTTTCCAACTTTGGACCTGTAACTGATCTGGAAATAACTGGTCCAGCTGTGAGGGCAGAGGGAGGGTGGTCTGATGTTGGAATCACAGAGGCTCAAACTAAATGATTTGTCAGAGACAAAAACTTTGTGATAGATCCTGAAAATGTATGTGGCAACCAATTTCAAGCAATATCCCCATGTTTCAGTCTTTTTAAGGAAGGAAGGACAACACTTTCAACGGTATCTTCAGGAGGTGACATTGTTTGCCCTTAGAAAGGCATTAATGGCCCTTCGCTTTTGAACCACACCTCAGCATATTTGGACAGAAAACCATACAGGGATCCCCTGTGCACAGCAGCTGTGTATCTGCAGCACTTGCTCTGTAGCCCCCAGGCACGCCCCAGATCTGCTCTAGAGGGTTCCCCAGCTCACTGAAGCAGATTTGGGGAGAATGGGGGCTGTAAAGGAAAGGAAAAATCTGTTTCGTTAGCAGCTTTTGTCAACTAGCAGATGGACATAGTTCTTCCAGCCCAAATTATTTACTTCCCTGGTACCTGAGGAAAATACAGCAGGGATTTAGTCTCTTTACAGCCACCCAGGGAAACAAGCCACATCAAGAAGGAAGCCTCGTGAGACACTAGGCCAACGTGGGTCATGCAGCATTCCCTGACCAGGTCATTTAGTTGACCGCAGCCAGGATGACGTTGCACTCCCGTTGAAGAACAAATTTGCCATTAGAGATGCTTACTGGACCATCATTGTCACCCATCTTCTCTGAAGGCCCTTTTGCAGATGCCTCCACACCCAGGTGTGCAGTGCAAAAGTGGCTGGTCCAGCACTCAACTTGATGGCATTTGGAGGGCAGGCTAATCTGCCCAGGCCATTTTACATGCCAGTGGGTCTAATCAGCTTTATCTTTACTGGTTGTCTTTATGCCATATTTATACATTCTATTGTTGACTGTACTACTGTACACATATTTTAATTCACTTTTATTCTTGGTGAAATTCACCCTGAGAACTTGATTTCAGGGCTGTGTATTTAAAACACACACACACACACACACACACACACACACACAACAAAAGTGCCAAAGTCTGGTTTTCATATTGATTTGCGCTACTGTTGCTGTCTTCTGTGTGAAAGACTGCCTTTGACTCATTTTTGCCTTCGGAAGCACCCTTCACAAGAGCCGCTGTTCTGACAGATGAGTAGGGGCTGTCAGCGATCAGGAAGTGGCAAGAATATCTCTAAATCCTAATTTCCTATTTTTACTTGTATGAGTGTAAAACAAAAACCAAAAATGAAAAGAACTTCTTGACTGTGAAGAATGGGTTTAGCTAGGCAACAACTGAATCTGAAGATGTCACTATATCTTCAATTGTATAGCTTGATGGAAGAGAAAAACATATCCTGTATTTTCTGTATGTGCGTATTCTCTCCCCTTTCCAAGCATGGCTCTTTATGCTCAGATTCTCAAATGCACTTGCCAAGTTGGAGAGTCTTAATCCCACAAAATGGAACCTCACATTCATCTGAAGATGCTCTAGCCTACCCACCACAACCTGGGAATCAAGTTTACTTCCATGATCATTTCAGAGAAAAGCCAAAAACCAGAAATTACACAAATATCCAGCTGTAGACAACAGAAGGCATGATAGCCTTCCCAACATTGCTATGTTAACAGCCCAATCAGCTGCTCAAACAATGAACAAGTGTAGAAATGGCCCCTGTGGCTTCTTTTCCCTCCTGCTTTTTATTAGAAGGGTTTTAAATGAGAGCAATAAAACCTCTCCATTAAGTGGTCAAATAAATAGCAAAGCTGCTTGCAGCAGCCATGGGTGAATAAGCACTCTGGAATCCGGGCACTGGCTAGCTCACAGGGTCCAGCACAGGCTCTCCAGGAATGCCAGAATGCAATTTGCAAAATGCGGGCAACCCAAATTAAACAATACTCTCCCTTTTTCTTGGTAAAGATGCAGGAAACTTCCAGACAATGAGATGCAGTTGGTAGAACGGAAAAAAGCAGCCTGGTTGGGCTCATAAAGCAGAGGAAGTTCCCCTGGAGATGATGGGAAACAAAAATGATCCAGGGGTCGGAAGCAGTGCACTGAGGGAACTGGGCATGTTCAGCCTTGAGAAGAGAAGACTGCGGGGGGACATGAGATCCCTCCACAAGTACCTCAGAGGCTGCCACAAAGGGGAAGGTCAAGCTCTCTTCTCGCTGATGCCAGAGTGTTGGACACGGAATAATCAACTCAGGTTGCGACAACCCAGATTCAGGCTGGACATCAGGAAGAGCTTCCGCACTGTCAGTGGAGCCAGCTGCCTAGAGAGGTCGTGGGCTCTTCCACATTGGAGACAGTCAAAAAGAAACTGGACAGCCATCTGAGTGGGATGGTGTAACTTGGTGTCCTGCAACAGCAGAGGGCTGGACTTGATAGCCTTCTTGGCCCCTTCCAACTCTACTGTTCTGTGATTCTATGGGTGCCTCATCACTGGAGATTTTTAAGCACGGACTGGATGGCTACCTCTCAGAGGTGCTGTAAAGTCTACTTTCTGCTTCAGCAGGCACCTAGGACTAGATGACTTCTGCAGTCCCTTTCTGTTCTTAGAATGCTAGGTTGAACTTGGGCTTCAGTATCAAAGTATAAAATATACATGCATCAAGTCAATTATGAAGGGCATGCAGAGCTCTAAATACACATAAGCATGGGAACGATCCTTTTCATAATCAGTGTGTCTGTCATAGGATGTGGACCCTCATGTCCCTCATAACTGACATGAAACAAAGGAACATTCAAGTACTAGAATCTGACCAGAAGACCTTTCTCCCCCACCCCTCTTTTACATACAGAGTTGGGCTAGTTGCATTTTACATATAGCATAAATGTATTATGTCACACCATAGCTGTATCCAAGTCACCCAGTTTATACAGTGTGGAACTGGAGCTTAATAGTAAAAGCCATGCTTTACATCAATCTCGTCCAATCTGGGGCCTTCCAGACTGGAGATGACAACATCCATGCTGGCTTTGGGTAAGGGGAGTGGTGGTCCAGCCTATCTGGAGGGCAGCAGGCAGGTGAAACTTGCTTTACATTCAGGAGAACACGCACTGTTGCATCGCTGGTCCTTAAGGTCTTTTCTGAAGGCTGCTTTCTTTGCAAATGGCAGAAGATGGGCACCTTGTCCACTAGCTTTTTTCTCCCAGAAATAGTTGGTTCAGTCAACCATTTCTGGGAAATAAATGTACAGTGAAGAATTTGCAAGGTATAAATATACTCTCTTCTACCCATTTCCCATCACACTGCTAAAGAGTAGAAATGCAAGGCAAGCAGCCTCTGCTGCGATAAATGGTTTTGACCTTTAAAGTTTTGACACAGGGGCTGTACTCAGTTGTGTCCTCTCTGTTGAATACAGCTCCTTTATCTAGCATAAGCTTCTGTAAATGGAAGAAGGGGGTTCTTCTAGCAAATGCTGCCATTTTTCTGCACCTCCTATGTTGTACCAAAAGGGTCCTTTGACCTTCTAAAGAAGATTGAGAGGGGAGTATGGGGGGGCTGTAACAGGAAGGGGAAACTGAAAATTACTTCCCCTGCCTCTTTTCACTTATGGAAGCCTCCGGCAGATCGGAAACCCTTCCTTCTGCCAGTGGAGGAGACATAACCCCAATGTATGCTTGAACTTGTAAGAACCCATCACTGGCCTAAGAAGCTCTGCTCTTTTGCCTGCCATTAAAATGGTGCCAGAGACAGGGCCTTTTCAGTGGCGCCCCCCTTGCATTTCCAGAATTCTCATTTCCCTTGAGAAGTACATATGTCATTTTCTATACTTGTCTTCAAGCTGACCTTGAAAATGGTTTTGTTTCATTCCATGTTTTACTGAGTTTTTAAAATGTTGCTAGTATGCTTAACTGTGCTGCTTTTATGTGGCTAGATTTGACTGGTTTATATATTATTTCAAAAATTATACATTTTATTGCTTTATCATCTTTATAAGTCAACCAGGGAGGGATTTTAACCTGTAAAAGTGCATATAAATCAAAGAAAAAAATAGGAGAAACAGCCCTGGTTAAAGTGTAAGTAGAATGGCTGGGAATAAGGGAGACATTTCCTTTTTAAAACTTACACAAGAGGTAAATGTGAAGAGCCTATAATGACTAGTCCAAGTGACAACTATCTGTATCCAAGCTGGTATCTACAACATTGTAGATTTAAAAAACTATTAAACCAAATGAACCTTTACAGATTCAGAAGTATATAATGTAGCATCTGCCTTTTGAACACTCAGTAAATTTCAGCCTTCAGTGTTTAAAAGTGCCTTTCTAGGTTTTACAGGTTGTAAACATCTGAGAAAGACTTCAAAGGATGGGGGTGGGGTTAGCTAGACAGAGCCTTGAAGGCCAAGATAATAGTACCTCTTGCAGCTCCTTCTCCTTCTCCCATGGATGAGGATCCCCATATATATGGAATGCCTGAAGCTATTATACATTCCATCCTCTCTTGTTTTGCTCCACCACCATCCTATTTCCTAGAATAGGGTGCACATTGCCTGAAAGCATAGTTTTCAAAAAGTGTCAGCTTTATACACAGTAAGTAAATACATGCCAGTTTGGTTAATTTGGATGATCTATTCTTTGCAGAATTTTGGTTTACTACCCCTGAGCAGATCATAGAGTTTATTAATTGCATATTTTTCAGAAGAGATCAATAGCCTATGGAGCACATATATTGGTGCAGACAGGTATAAAATAATCCTTGACTAAATATAAACAGATTGGAAAAGCATCAGGTAACCTGCAGGAGAAGAGAGATTGGACATGTGTTAAGTGCACGTTTCCCACCTCTTTTGTAGCTGCCAAGGAAACATCATGAAGTCTACACTGGATAACTTCTGAATGGCAGGTAGCCAAGCATCTGATGCTGAAGAGTCCTTTTTCCTTCAAATGCCTGAGAGGCAATTATCAGGAAGATAGAGGGAGAGAAAAGAGGAGAGAAATTATTGGTCTCACCTGGCATTTTGCAGAAACAGGGTTTCTCACAGCAGCAAGAGTGTCTGAAAATGAGATGTGTCATAGAAGTCACACATCAAGAATACAGAAAAGCAGAGGTGCCAAATTTAACAGAAGCCCTTATATACCATAGATTTAAAACTGCTATGGAGGGAAATGTATTTCACCACCAGCCTATGTGCCAGATAGTATCTCCTGTGAATTAAGCTGAATAAAAGAGTGTGATTGATTTACTAGTTCCACATGATAGACTCCATCCTTGGAAAAGGCTGAGACCGGTATGGCAGACGCTGTCCTATAAGGTCTGGGAGACAAAGCTTGCATTTCCCCTTCCTCCTTTTTTATTTTTGGCCAATAATTCACCGCGGCTCTGCCTTGCCGAATTAACAGCACCATCTGTTGGTAAGTTGGTGATGAAAATGAATGCAGGTGACAAATTCTGGAGCCATCACTTTCAGAAGAGAGGCAGCCATGTTAGTCCATCGCTGCAAAAATGAGAAAGCATTTCAGGTGAAGCAAAGTTCTAACAGATTTATTGTGGCATATGCTTTTGTAGAGTAGAGTCCATCAGCTGCATGAGGTGTTATCCTCAGTTAGCAAATACATACAAAGAATTATACAGAGAGGAAAACAATGCAGACAATGACATTAAAAGACAATAAATTGGACTTGGGTGGGGGAATTGGCCTGTTACAGTAAACACACACAAGCACAGACATTCTGGTGGTCTCTCAAAGACCAGAAACCAAGAGATCAGAAACAAAAAGTATCCTTCAGGCAGAAGATAGGGGCCACCCCTACCATTAGGCAGAGTTAGGTGGCCATCTCAGGCAGCACATTCTGAGTGTCCTGAAAGGGCAGCAACCTGCTAGTTATTTTAATTATTTAATGTGTGGTTATACTTTTACTGCCAGGGATGGGGACAGAGCTTGTGAGATTTTCTGCCTGAGATGCCAATTTAACTTGGCACCTTGAATGGTGAGACATTGTGTGTTGCTCTGCCTCAGGCAGCAAAATCTCATGGATCAGCCCAAGAAAATAATGTGGGCAGTGAGGCTAAAGATGCAGTTGTGACTGCAAGTGTCCATCTCTGCCAAGCGAAGATAACCAAGCATCTGAATAAACGGGCTATAAGCTATGAAAGCTTATATCACAGTAGATCCAACTATAGGGTCCCACTAGACATATCTCTGAGTGACAAGAAAAGCTCTTGGGAGTTTTCCCATGCAAGACTCCGATCAGGCTTTCCTTAAACAGCTTAAAACCCAAGTGTAAAACCAAGTTTGGCAAGAAGCTACATTCAATTCTATAACCTATCCTCCGCATCATTAACACATGGCATAAGACCAGAAAAGCCTTCATGGAATCTGATTAGGGCACAGTCCTATCTGTGATGCCCCTGGTACTCATACTTCCCTGAATTCAGAGGTTTACAGGCATCCAGTGCAGAGCAGAAATAGCAGAGACAATCTCTGTCTCCTTCACCTCTGCATTTCAGCTGGGTAGCCATTTTGCTCAGGTGCTTCAGATGGCTGAGAAGGAGGCTGGAGTGCCATACTTCATATCCTAGAAGCCTTTTCAGATCCCAGAGCAAGAAGTCAGTGTGGTTCTTTCTGAGCTGGCTGCAAGGTGGGGTGGGGGTGGGGGGATCAGAATCTGTCTCTGACCTCAGAGATGAGAGTCCCAATTATTCTATGGCAGCCCAGACAATGTCTAGGAGCCATAGGATTGCTCTCCTACTGTGTCTACTCTTAGACAAACCACAGCCCAGAGGAAAAGAAGAAGCAGAAGGGCTGGGGAGAAGGAGAATCAAAATGCTAGTGTCAAAAGAATGTTAAAATAAGAGAGATCCAAATGAGGTTAGTTATACGTTCCTCTGAAATCAAGGGGACAAGCCAGTCACCCTGGCCAAGCATTCCTCCTGAAGTTCACCAGTCATTCCATACACTCCTTTCTGCATAGCGCAAATTCACCAGAGAAGCTGTAGTTCAGGGGGCAATTTTATACTATTTTACAACGGGCAATACTTATATGAAGGTTGGTCTGATCCAAGTCTAATTTAAAGATGCAGAACCATAAGGAGGAAAAGCTGAGCCCCTGAAGTTGCCCTTCTCTACCTAGAACCCAGACAGCAGACTGAGCTGACACTCAGATATATTCTGTTTTTCTATTTAAATTATGGTCACAGTTTCTAAATTAGTGTCTATTAGCATATGCAAATTTAATGCAAAGCCATGCCTTCCTTTGACCTCTTTTTAGGTCATGCACTTCATCTCTTTTTGTGATTGGTGATATGGTAATAAAGCTTAGCCTTCCCCAATATGGTGGCCTCCAGATAGGCTGTTTTTCCATTCCCAGCATGCCCAGCCAGCATGGAACATGCTTGAAGTTATAGTCTATCACATCTGGACGGCACCAGGTTGGAGAGCGCTGCCCTCGCTGTAATGGCATAAATCTATATAGCTATGAACTTTGTCAGAAAGGAGGTGAGAGGATTTAAAATTCATACAGCATTCCCTCTTTTTACTACCATAAATTTGGTCATATAAAATTATTACAAGCATTCTTACTTTGCAGTTCCTTTCTTTCAAGGACTGTATCTATTTTGGCCTCTGTGGTAATTGAGAATCTTCCATGTCTTATTTTAAAATATAGGAGTTTTGGTGTTTTCAGCAAAATGCTTCTACTTTTTATTCAGCTGTAAGGGATTCAGTTGTGAGACATACCTGGCTGGCCAGCATTAAAACGAAGCAGGCTGGTCATGTGCCCATGATATCAGTGAAACCAGAGCCGTCACATAGGCAGGGACTAAGAAATCCCTTGCCGGGGCTCCAAGCCCCAACCTCCCAAGTAGTCAAGTCTCCCAGGTAAGCATGGGAACTACCTGGATTTAAATTTACCAATCAGCGTCTGCAGCAGGAATTTCAAACCAATGAAGCTCTATCATTGTTACCTGGTCAGCAAAGGTATAAAAGGGAACTGTACCATGTGTTCTGCTTTGAGTGCCCCTTGCTTATGATCAAACTTATTCTCAAGAATAAAACCATTTTCTCTCATCCCTGTCATTCTTGATTGGTTGTGTAGGATCCCTGGTATCCTACACAATGATGACTTCTATAATGCTACTGAGGTGTCAATTATATTGGCTTACAGTGCTGTGGTTAGAGTATAAGGCTGGGGGGAATGACAAGGAGTGAGGCCCAAGCAGCTCTGTCATGAAATTCTGTTAAAATAAACTCACCATTTTTCAAAACTAGGTTGGAAAGTCCAAAACAATTTTGGCAAAGTTCATTTCACTGTGTAAAGTTAGTTTCACTGTTGTGAGCCATTCAGAGTAATGCAGTATTAGAAGGGTAAGACAGAAATTCCTAAATAAATTAATACATTTGGGGAAGGGAAAGAAGGAAAGGAAAAGAGGATGAAGGGTATGGTCTGATTGGGAATTGGGGGAGAAGGGGATATGAAACAGCTTGTGAATGGTCTTTTATGCTGCAGCCTTTAGAGATTCGAGGGCACATGATGCAGAGGAGGACGGGGTGGAGGTGGGGGTGGTGGAGGCAGAGATCTTCCTTTCCTTACCAATCATTGCTGCTGAGCCACTTCAGAGCATCATTCAGCCCCTGCTCTGGGTGAGACAAGGGTCTTATCTCTAAGGCATCTCTGTTGACAAGGTCTTCCTCCCATTCTGGAGAATCCTGCAGGTTTGCTGGCAGAGAGTTTGCTGTAAATGTGAAAACAACAACAGCAATATACACACTATAACATTGGCAGGCTGCAAGTACATGCATAGTATAAAAGCATAATTTTAACTCTTCCCTCTTATCTGAGTCACATCCCATTGGAAGTGTTGCAGAGGATAAACCAGCCTTTCCCAACCAGACTGTGCTGACTGTGGATGATGGGAATTGTCCAATACATCTGAGGGGGCATCGGGTTAGGGGCAACTCAGACAGGCCATCTGCCCTGGAATGTGCATTGTGTGCATTCTGGGTTCACTTCATTCTTCTGAAGGAGAGGGGAGGCAGTTGGAGAGAATGTACACCTAACGGAAGGGATAGGCAAATGTGTTCATTCTGGTATCCCTTCTTTCATTTGCCCAAGCCAGATAATTTTGACTCATTTCCCCATCAGCTTATGAATGCAGCTAAAAGGAGTCTGAATGGGAATTTGTACATATTTTATGCACATTTTTACCAGATGCATTTCGAACTGTACTTTCCTAGTGTGAACACATTTCAAAAGTGGTTTTGCCTCAATAAAAGCATTTTTGTGTGCACTTTGCCTTAATGCAGGCATTTTAGTGCACGTATTTTCTTAATACACTCATTCCCATATACATTTTTGAGCTGCAAATTGCACTGCAACATTCTGAAAAGCAGTGATTTTGGAGCATAAGCTCACTGCAGTTCATGTGCTGGTTTGGGAAGTGCAATTAAATAAGCTCAAATGAAAATACAGAGGGAATGAATTTCTTGTCCTTCCTTATATAAGGCTGCAGAACATTCTCAGCCCTCTAAGCAGGTCAGTCACCCCCACAGCTCACAGAATAGCCCGCCACCTGACAGTCTCTCCCCTCGCTCACTAGGCAAGGTGATCCAGGCAGAACTCAGCCCTTGCAGAGACTGCACTGGCATGCAGTCTGGCTTTCACAATGTCATTTGGAGCACCAACCTCAGCCGGAGGCAAGCAGCTCCCCTGCAAGATTAACCCTCATCCAGCCAGAGAGTTTTGCATGCACTTTGCTTCACTGTGGACTCAGAAGGAGAACAGACTCCCGCAGACACATGTCAGACCAGCAAGATCTGCAGAGCTAAAGCGGTGCTGAACTAACAGCCATACTGCACTGCGCCGCATCTGTTTAAAGAGGTACTCGTTTCCTTACTGTTGGCCAGCAGAATTGGACAAAGTGCAGACATGGCATTACTATTGAGACATCCTGATAGCTTGCTTTGCTTGCAAAATCTAATCCTATCCTGGGACAAGGTGATACCATTGCAGGCCAAAGGAAATACACTAATTAATAAAGTTTCCAATGGACAAAAGAAGCCACTGAGTCATATGCTGTTTGCAGGGACCTTGGAAGTGGCAAAGTGCCCTTGGGAGAATTCTAGGCACCTGTCCCAATAGGCAAATGCAGGGCTGGTGCCTCTTTGCCAATATGTGGCTTGCTGGGCCAGAGAAGAAATAGGAGAGTTGGAGAGCAGGCCCTACTGGTCAAATCAAGGGCTAGCAAACTTCACTCTAGCAGGCATGAACTATTTTCTTCACCTCCGGCTGACACCAAATGGGGACCTGAGGCTAACTGAGCTCTCACAATGTCATCCTTTGCAGGATAATGCTCAGGTGTTGTCTCCAGGAGAAAGAACTGAACCTGGCAGTCAGGAGAATCTTAGGTTTTCTTCAATATGCCACGCAGACTGCAGGAGGGAACTGCGTACTCACATGCTTTCCCATCCTAAAAAGCATTTTCCACTTATTGGATGCCAGCTAAGTTAAAACTTTTCTCTCCCTGGCATACTAACAGTTCCAGGTACCGTTTTTCATGCTGAAAATGGCATTTGCTATCTGTACCTGAAGTTTCAATGGTATAGCCCAGGATAACCTTCACTGTGACACATTGCTGATTGTGTTATATTTTAAAAATGATTTGTCATCCTTAAGTTTTAAGTGTTAAAAACATGGGTCCCGTGGGGCAGGTGACATCATCAGAGGACTTCATGGTAGGTTCCCACCTTTGTCAGTTCCCACAATTTGCATCAACTGGACTGCTGGGCTTGGTCTGGGGGGCAATTCAACCCCCAGAGAAAAAGATGGTGTCTCCATCTGCCTTCATAAGGCAGGTGATTGAAAGAAATCTGCATTTACAACACAGTAGCTGGGTTGAGACAACACTACTAGCCATGGCAGAATGTTTTACCATTGTTGGCCTCTTGTGTTGTCTGAACCCAGTCATAGTATTTCACTATGGTAAACTTAGTCTTTAAAACCATGATAAGAAACCAGTTTATTCTGTGATTTCTCTATAAAACCATCTCTTGTCATGTTGTCTGATCCCAGGATCATGGTTTCCATGGTCCTGGTATACAACTACTGCAGCGTCCCACACAAACAGCAACAACTGCAGGATCCACTCCAACCGTGCAACCTCCATGTGTGGACCAATAAGAATGAGGCAAGATATATGGGCAGGGAGCAGTGTGCCCTGAGATTGAATCTCAGGCACAGTGGCTGATGGGATAGATGCCCACAGCAGGAGGACTGAGGCACACTGTGGGCCAAAAAGGTGTGCCTTTAAAGCTATGCCTTGCTTTCATTTTTACTCTAGAATAGGTACAAGGGAGGGATCTAAATTAGGACCCTAGTGTGGGGGTGGAGAGGCTCCAACTTCTCTCTGTTTATGTTCCTGATCCAGGCTGGGGGCTGCAGTTTCCATTGCAAAAGAAATTGGCTTTTCTGGTCCCAAGTGCAGCCTAGTTCACTGCTGATACTGGCTGGAAAAAACTGACATTAGCCTCTTCACACACCTCTGTATTCTGGGCAATCTCTTATCCACACTCTCACTTTTAATGGGCTTCAGGCAGGACTTAGATGTTTCCACAAACAGAGGAGAGGGACAGGGTAAGGTCACCCTGATGGCTTTGTGTTGTTGCAGAGCTGATTGAACATGAAAGTAAGTTTTAAAATCAATTCCGGTTTTCATATTTACTACACCAACCAGTACATGCTGGTTCAGCCAAAGGAAACGTAGTACCTGTTTCATACCACTCAACCTTGTGCCACATTTTAGCACCCACCGCTGGCATCCTGGTGACTAACCTCCAACGCTTTTCTAAGGGCACAACGCTGTGCATGTTCAGAGAGAAAAAGGACCTGCAGCTCTCAGTTTGTCTCTAAACAAACACAGGATTGCATTCTAGGCTACCTGAAGAGATTCTGGAATGCACCTTTTCAAAATCCCTAATGAGAAGAGACACAGGCATTGCCTGTTGGGCTGTGATTCTAATCTTTGGAGCAGGGAAACTCTTTTAAAATGTATTTCTACTGTAGGGTTGATTATGCAGCCCTAGTCCATGTCCAGCCCCCATTCCAAGACCGCAGCAAACCCAGAGCCATGTCAGAAGTTGGTATATTTGTATGGCTCACCTGAAGCATGCCTTAGGAAGCTACTGTCATGGTTTATGACAGGGATGTTGGGCAGGGATGGCCTGTTCACCCGCTTCTTTAAGGCTATTCCAACGGGAGCTCTGCAAGATTTGCTCAGGCTGAGTGTGGCCCCATTGTGGATAACTGGGCCAGAACCTGCAGAGAATAATTTAGGGGAATCAGCAAAGAAAGAGTGAAGAAGCAACACTTGAAGGAAGGCCACAAGAAAACTGGAACTGCAGAAGCGGTGTTTCCATGACAGATCTGGACCCAAACGTAACTGCATTGCTAACAAAAGCAACAATGTTAGGAACAATTGTGACAGAAAACAGTGACCAGGGAAACCTTTTACCTTCCTTCCATTCCACGTTAAAGATAGAAGTCCAATTTTGGTGCAGTGCTCTCAAGATTATTTTTAAAGGTGACTCAAATCACCTGTGCACGTTGAAAATGTTCCTTGAAATCGTTTATCCATATCACTGTTACAGAGCTAGCTCCCTAAGCAAAATCCTGTTAAAATCCTGTCAAGAGATCTTCCTTCAGAATCTTGCCTCTGGAAGTTACCGGAATAACAAGTTCTTCTGACTAGAGCTGACAGCTGATTAATAGCTCTGAAGGAGGGAGGGCAGGGGAGGAAGGAACTGCTGTTGTTTCTGCGCAATGCCCATCATGGGTTACTGCAAGCCCCATTTTTAAGGGGGCATTTCCGCCTGCATGAGGAATATCTCTTCAAAGACACTTGCTGGTTCCCTCAGTCTTTGGAAGTGCAGAAAATTAAATTGGATGCCTAATTAAACAGCGGTGCCTGGCATTGGTCAGTCCAGCCATTCTTGGTCAATTAGCCAAATCAATAAATCAAAACCAAACATTACAGCCCTTGCTGGAAGTGGGAGCACTTTAAACGGCCAAACCAAAAGGTATGCAAGAAAAGCCTTTCCACACAAAGCTCTGACACAAAGCTTTTATAATTCCAGGCCTAAAGGAAAGCGAGTCAGTAACCTTGCACTGAGCCTTGTCTTGGTGGCAGCGTGCTGACTTGCAAGTTTCTCTGTGCTGCTCCAAGTCTTCATGGAGCATCCACCGCAGCATAATCAGGGCATGTCACTTCCAATCAGATCAGCTGGGGTGCTTCTCCACCTCCACCATTTTAATAAACTGCTCCCTGTTGCAACAGCATTGCTTCTCAAGAGTGCATGTGGATGTAATTTAAAACAAGGAATCTCTTACTGGATAACTAAGAACTTCCTGTGAATGGACATTTCCTCCTGGCTGCACAATTTAGTTACAATTAAAGTCACACCTGAACTTTTGTGGGTTTAACTTTTGTGGATTTGATTATTCACAAGTTTGCCATCAATAATTAAATAGGATTTTTGTGGCCTACTGTGGAAATGATGTGCATAGACTGGAAAATGTAAAGAAAACTTTAAAAGGTTTAGTAAGTCACAAATGCATGAAATATATGTATTATTAATCTGTTTTATCATTTACTACCATAAATATATAAACAAATGTATTATGAAAGGGAGAGTTGTTCATGACTGGGTCTCAAGTGCCCGTTTTCCAGCTTAGGCTGCCCAAACGGCCAAACCATTGGGGATATAATAGGGGGAGGCCAGTGGTGAGCCAAACTAAGGTGGTAGGGGAGCAAGAAAGAGGGAGCGGTTGGCTTTCTGAGCATGCTAAGACAAAGAGAGAACCATGTACATGTAGGAAATGGGGGAGGAAGCAATCCTTTAGTGGAAGAAACTATTTTGGGAGCTGATAGGGCCCAGTATCAAGAATTAAGGTGTGTGTGGCGGGGAGGGGTAAAGATATTTGTGGATTTCCACTTTCACGGGGTTCTGTGTCCCTAACCCCCATGAATGTGAAGGTTTGACTGCAAATATTATTGGGAAAAATGCTGGATGGTAAGTGCTGCTGCTATTTTGATGTGGACTGGATGAAATTTGATCTAGAATTCAACATTGTCCAGGTGCTAAAATTTTAAGGCAACTCTTTCTTACAGGCAGTCCTACGACTTGATTTTTCTACAGCTAGGAAAGCTTTTTTTCAAAACTGAACCTTTACAAAGTATAACAAAACCTTTCCTGAAAGACACCATCTAGGCATAAAAAACATACAGTGTTAAAACACTTTGCTAAGAATTGTTCAGCAATAAGTGCATTATTTCAATGTTTTCCCAAGCTGTTAGAATTCATGCTTCATTTTTGGATTAAAGAATGAATCAGGAGAAGGACAAAATTCAACAAAGATACAGTGCTGTAGGAGTATTTCAGAGTCATCCAGTGAACAGTATAGGAGCCAAACTACAGATCACACTAACCATGTACGGAGTAACTGAACTGCATCATTTGCTTCATTTGTAAGTACTCAAGGCCCCAGTTTGCATTAGACCAACGCACTCTAGAAGAGGAGGATTAACCTTTCCTCCACCCACACATCTACTTCTACTTCCCCTGAAATCACCCACCCATGGGGGATTAAAAGAGGGAAAACGGGCTCCATTGGAGTCAGCGGAGACTTTTTATTTCATTTAATCCCCTGCAGGGTAGTGACATTTGGGGAAAAAAACTGGGAGGGAGGTTTAACTTTCCCTCCTGCAGCACAGTTGTGCCAGTCTGAATCATAGCCATGTATGCTTACTTGAGAGTAAGAACAGATAAGCCACTGCTACACACTGTGTGATTAGTGTAACATTTAGTCTGGCTCTGGAGGTACCCATGTCATGAATTGACGAGAAGGTAAACCTGCACCTGGACTGCCTCATTTCCCAATGATGAGGGAGTGTATGTGACTGAGGCTACAATCCACACATTGGGAGTAATTCCCATTGAAACAAAGGGGTATTACTTCTGGGTAGATATACACTGAGTAGACATTCCATATAGAAATAAAATCCCTGCAAATAGAAAAGTAGCATATCACCGAGAAAGCTAGGCCAGAACCATGATTCCTGGCATCTGGTATTTTACCTACCTGGTCCCTGAGATGAACTTCAGAAAGTTTTCCAGGTGACCCCATCAAATGAGGCAAAATGGGTGGCTACTAAGGAAAGGGTCATTTCAGTGGTGGTGCCCCTATTGTGAAATTCCCTCCCCAGAGAGGCACATCCTGTGCCTGTGTTGTGTTGTGTTCTTTTCAGTGCCTGAAGATCTCCTTCACTATGGCTTCTCAGTTTTAAAAACACAACTTAGTGTTTGTTTGTTTGTTTGTTTGTTTAGTTCTTGAGCAGTTCTGCTGGATGTTTTACTCTGGTGTGGTTTTAACTTGTTTTTAATCCTATATTTGCTCTATATTTGTATATTATATTATAGTTGTAAAGTTTTGCATACCATCAAGGCAACTTACCACCAATAGGCAGTATAAAAGTGTTGCAAATACTTCTGGGAGGGATGTTTCTGGCTGATGATAATGAAGTTTCATGGAAGACCCATTCAATCATATTAATCCCCACCTGTGGTCTTCAGTGGTCCATGCTGAACATAGTTTATGCAGAGATCTCTGATTAACTCTAAGGTTGCATTTTATACGAAACCACCCTGAGAATAAGCTACACCATGTGGGTTGTTTATGGAACAATCCTTGGTATGTCTGATAGACAGCTGAGCTCACTGTGGCTTGTTCTCCTTCTCAGTGCCTCTGCTGGTATTCCAGTGTCCTTCACAGCAAGCTCATTTTGTTCACTGCTGTTGTCTTTTTCATGACCCCAAAAACATACAATCGGGGTTGTATGGGGGCGGAGCAATAGTGGTCAGATTTTGGTGGTGGTGGTATTAAACAGACTGTTAAAAAGGTGAACAGCACTGCGAATGGTCAATTTAAGACTTAAAATCAAGAGGTTTACATGACCAAGGGGAGATACTTTCCCCACAGGCACACTTTTGGCCCACACTTTTGGTACCCTCTTTTGCCACTCCCTTCCCCACCTTTACGAATACCTTTCCTCTGACAACTTGACAACTGGACCCTGAAAACTGTGAGCAAGGGGGCCTATTTGCAGTCTCACCCTGTCAGTTTCCTTGCCTGTTGCTGAGCCGTGTCTCAGCTTCCTTTGACCACTGAAACAGACAAGGAAATGGATCAGCCAAGAGTATGCAGATCAAACGGCCATAAGGACTCACTTCCATAAGATTTTTTAAAAAATGCATTTGGGCAAATTTCTGGGACTGCTTTTTTAATGGTCACACCTCGGTCACACCAAAGTGCCACCTGGACTTCAGTGGAGGAGCACTCACTGGTGGTAGGGCAAGCAAAAACACCAAGACTGAAGGGCTTGCCACTGACTGACTCACAAGCCTGCCCCCACAAAGCACGATAAAATTGCTCTCGCAGGTTCAGATGACATGACAACCCATCATGGCTCAAACAACCACTAAAACAAGCCATGGATGGTCAGGGCATCTTCTTATAAGCCATCCTGAGGGAAGGTGGCTTGACAACCAATGAGAAGATAAGAAAAGCCATGTGGGATCAGATCACGGTTCCGTCTCATCCAGCATTCTGTTCACACCTTGGCCCACCAGCAGCAGTCCTAGTTCCTCTCCACTTGCACTGGTTAGGGCACATCTTGAGTAGGGCTCATTTCTGAACATCTCAGTTTAAGATTCAAACTGGAAAGGTTCAGAGGAGGGCAGTGGAGATAATCGGAGGCCTGGAAACAAAGCCCTGTGAAGAGAGACTGAAAAAACTGGCCATGTTTGACCCTGAGAAGTGGAGATGGGAGATAGGAGAGCACATTTCAAGTACTTGAAAGGTTGCCAGACAGGGGAGGGTGAAGATCTTGTCTTGATCGTCCCAGAGTGCAGGACATGGAATAATGGGCTTAAATTACAGGAAGCCAAATTCTGGCTGAACATCAAGAAAAACTTCCTGACTGTTGGAACAATATGGCAGTGGAACTAATCACTTAGGGATGTTTTGGCCTCTCCTGCACTAAAGACATTCAGGATGCAGCTGGAGACCCACCTGTTATGGATGCTTAACTCAGAGTCCAGCATTGAGAAGCAGGCTGGACTCGATGGCCTTTCTGGCCCCTTCCAGGGTGGATTCATCAAAATCTTAGCTCATTTCAATCTGTTGCAAATTTCTCTAACATCCCAGTGAAAACCGTCATTCAGGCCTGGTGTCAGCCCCCAGCATGGTGAGCAAAGACCCACCATGGGTTCTTATGCAGGACCCTTACAAATGAGACAGTGACCCTCATGCTATTGATGTGTTTGGATGTAATATAAAATACATATAACAGTTGATGTGTATTTGGTATTTTCCTCTCAGGCAGGCACATACCTTCCAGGGCTGTTCCGCCATTCTGCAATTGTTCTTGAAACTTCATTGATCTCTCCTTTTCTCTCTCTTTCTCCTTTTCTCTTTCTTTACGCAAAAGTTCTAACTCCTTTAGCTGCTTTTGGCGCATTTTCTCCTGAGCTGACTTGGATATGGTCACATAGATCTGGACACAGCAGAAATACACTGTATAGCATATAATTATAATAATAAAAGACAAACACATTCCTGTACACAGCAGTGAGAAACCTCAGAACATATTGTAATACCTTGAGCCTAAACACAGAGATCTACCATTTCCACATTTTTTTTAATAAAGCAAGTATAAGTTATAATTTTCTTACCTGTTCCTCAAAGTAACTGACTGAAATATGAGTGGGTAGGAACACTGGGTTTTATCAAGAAAAGTGGCAAGGGAAATGTCAGATGTGTTCAAAAGATATTTTGCTTGACAAACAGGAAAACACTTATTTCACTATTCAGCAATGATGAGGTCAGTAGGGAATTTATTTATGAGAGGCATTTATTGTGTGCTTGTTATTCCCTGCTCATGGTTGTCTTTGGGCTCTTCACAAAACATTCTGGCCCTCCAGTTTCACTTCTGTTTTTGTTTTCATTTTTTTTAAATAGCACTTCAGAGAGTCCAGAGCAAGAAAATTTGGTGTTATACATAAAGGTGAAAGAAAATGATTTTTCCATTAGTGCAATTGCCCTATTCTACTATACCACAGTGCACCTGCAGGTTATATAGCAGAACAACAGGGAAGGAAACCGAGAACTCCTGATATAGTTCTCGGATCTCAGTTCTGTGATGAAATATTTTAATTGTTAAACAATGTCTTGGATGTTATATTGGTTTTATCTATATGGTCATTGGCATTCTGTAATTGGTTTTATTCTTACATTATGTTGTTATTATTACTGTCATTCTTGGTGGCTATCATTATCATTATCATTATCATTATATTACCTTTCTATACTGCCCATAGCCAAAGCTCTCTGGGAGATTCACAACAAGAGGACTACGGGACTTGGGCAGAAAAGTCTTTAAGGGAGATTTGGGTACAATTTGGGTACACAGCTGGCTCTGCCAACTTCATTTCCTCTCCTGAAAATCAGATCAGGCTGACAGTGCTGGTAGATGGGTGTGAACTTCTATGCCTCCTAGTAACATCCTCTCCACGGAGGGCTCCTCTCTGAAGTTTTTTCCAGATGCAGAGATGAAAAAGGCACAGCACTTGCCCATGTGCCCCTCCATACTAGTAGCAGGTTCAAGGGACAATTAAGGGACCATGAAATAGTGCAGGAGAGAAAGCATGAAGCCCTTTCCCCAAATTGGAATGCCCACCTGGCCCAACAGGAGTCTTAGCAAGCCCCAGTAATAAATTAAATGTCCTGCAGTAGGAGACAGTCTTTACCTGGTGCCAAAAAGATAGTAAAGTTGTGGCCAGGCAGGCCTCGAATGGGCAACTCTTTCCATATCTTCCATATAGCCTGAGGTGCCTGATCCAGCCCAATCTTGAAAGCTAAGCAGGGTCAGGCCTGGTTGAAATCTGGATGGGTGACTAAAATGTTGCAAACCTTACAGAGAACTTTGGCTACAGGCAGTATAGAAATGTTCTTAATATTATAATAACTGGGAGGCCACCACTGAAAAGGCTCTTCTCCTTGTTGCCACCAACTGAGCCTCCCTCAGGAGCAATCAGAAAAAGCCCCCCAAACCTGATCATAGTGTCCAAGTAGATAAAGACTGGGAGAGGCATTCTGTGAGGTATTGTGGTCCTAAGCTGTGTATTGTCCTTGGTCACACTGCCAGGCCCAGGGGCTGGCTTACCAACCTCCTTCCTTCCGATTCCACATCCCTGTGCCCCCTTTATCCTTGCGCTATGTGGCATCATGTTGCATTTTGGGACTGTTCTTTTCCACCTGGGGTTTTACGTGCTAGTCCTGGGCCTGAGCGTCAGCCTTGCTTCCTCCAGCCATTGGCTCTGGGCTTGGTCCTGATGAGATGGCAGCACTGTAGTTCTCCTCCACAAATCCTGCTCCCAGCCTGAGGCTTGTATCTCTTACTCTCCTGCAGCCACCACTTCCCACTTCTTTCTTACATCCTAAAACCATAGGACTGCTCCTCTTACTTCCCACCCCATGATCTATTCTGTGCCTCTGCTGCTGTGCCTGGCCTAAGCCCACCAGCACTGCAAGATCTTGGAGCTGGTACTCCAAACAGAGCAGAACAGAACAGCAGTAGAGTTGGAAAGGTCCTATAAGGCCATCAACCCCAGTCTACTGCTCTGCCTCTGCATGTGGCCACCCATCCAACTGCGGGGCCATACTATTCCAGCTTAGCAAAGGTGACTCTACATGCTAGTTCAATGTACAGTTATTTCACAGGACTTGATAATCCTATGGCCTCCTGGACAACCTCAGGAGGCCACAGGATTGGATCCTTGAATACAAATACTTTTTAATGATTGTGCCAAAATAACCTTCTTAGAAGCAGAAAGAGGAGCCGTGGTACATACCCTTCCATTGCTCTCCGTCAGCTCATCATCTTTGAAAAGGTGAGGATTTGATAGCTGGCCTTCTTCCTCGCTTGGACTATGAGAAGAGGCGGTTAATGGCAGTAAGGACTCAGGGGGACACCCAGAAACTTTCATGGCTGCTGGCAAGCCATTTTGGAAGGCAGAGTCTGATGTGCCAGTTTCTGATAAGCCAATAAAATATACACATGTTACCATGAACAGCAAGTATCTAGGAAATTGTTTAAAGTGTTCCTGTAGAGAGTGCAAGCCAAGAAATTACGCAATGTATTAATGTTGATTGAGAGTTTGTGCCAAGGATATACTCCCGTAGATTGAATTACCTCCTGTATAAATGAATTCAAAGAATATAAAGTCTAGGGAGGACAAAGGCAGACTGGAAAAGCAGGCCTGCTTGCTACCATTTCTGTCAATAGCTGGTGATGCAAATGTTGCCTTTGCAAAGAAAAATCATATATTAGCTGGTTTGGGGGACCCTGTCATAACATATTTAAATCTGCAAGGGCGACATGAAACAAAATGTTGCCTTACATCCTGAGCTTTCAACAGCAGTATCCTTGTTCATAGTTCAGGATACTAGAGAGGCAACCATGCCTTCTTCCAGCAGACCAGTCCTTTCTCTCTACCCCAGGTTCTGTACTTCTTTTCTGGCTGCAGCATTCCATGGCTACTGAGTATGCTCAAGCCCCACTGAGCCCTCAAGGGTTCTCTGAGCATGCTGAGAGAGCTCCCTCATTTTTTTTTCTTTTGTTGAAATCCGTGGTCCCATTTGGGCTTCATTTCTGCCAGTACCAACAAGCCTGTTGGAAGGATGGTCTAGCCACATTCAGAATACTTTATAAAGTTTTGGAGTCCCCGTCTCAAAAAGACATTATTTGACTCATAAAAGCAATGAAGAGGTTGGAACAACTTAAGAAAAAAAGTTCAATAAAGGGAAGCATGATAGAAGCTTATGAAATTCGTAATACTATGGAAAACACCGAGTAAGGGTTTTTCCCCTTGCCTTCTCATGAAGCTAGAAGGTTATGAATTAAGGTGATTGTCAGCAGAGAGAAAACAAAGTAATATTTCACATATAGTTAACTCTGCCAGAAGATCTGCTGAGGGCTTAGAAGGCCTCAAAGCAGGAAGGTGGAGAAAACAAGTTCTTAGAGGCTTGGAACTATCAATTATTAGTTGGGATAGCTAAAGGGAACCTCCATGTTCAGAAGCACTGTACGTGTGAACCACAGACATGAGGTGCAGGCTATGACCCTCACAGGTTACCTGTGTGTTGGCTTCCCAAAGGCACAAATGGGAAGAATTCATGTTTGTGGGATCTAGTTTGTGAATTTCTTTTATTATTGTCTTCCCTAGCTTGGCACCTTCCAATTGTCTTAGAAATGGGCTACAACTCCCAGCATCCCTGTCAGCAATGATTAACTGGTGCTGGGAGGATGCTGGGAGGGAGTTGTAGTCCAGCACACCTGAAGGACATTGGATTGGAGAATGCTTTATTGCTGGGGCAACAGCATCTGCCAATCAGAGCCGCATACAAAAGACATACGTTGAATCATTAAAGACGATGGAGACTGGGAATGCAATGCAATGCAGTGCTGTGCTGTGCTGTGCTGTGCTGTGCTTGCTGTGCTGTCTGGATCTGGATCTGGTTCTGCTTCTGGTTCTGGTTCTGGATCTGGACTGAACTTGCAAGCCTTCTGCTACACAGATCCTCCATTCCTAGTTACCACGGGCTTTCTTCATTTCATTTTACAACAGCTGCTGAATCAGCTACTTCTACTGCTAAGCATATGGGAATCAGAAATCCTTGCCAGTCTTCCATGATAAATCACCCAGGAATCCAGAGCAGTGGGTCCACTTCTGCCTTCTACCCTCTCATGCCCAAAGGCATCTGACTGGGTCTTGAAGAAGCAGGTTTTTGGACCAGAAGGATCCAGGAGGGCTTGATGTAGCTCAGGGCTGTGGAAGGATCGCAGATGCAACGGCCCACCTCTGCAGAAAGGCTGGAAAAGCCCCAGCCGGAGGCCCTGTGAGATGCCACCAGTCAGTGTACATCAGCCTTGCTCAGCCTGGTGCCCTTCAGATGCCTCGGACTATAATTCCCATCATCCCCAGACAGCATGCCCAGTGGATCAGTAATGCTCAAGCTCACTGGAATTCTCTGAACTCTGCTTGGAGGCTTAGTTTGCTCTAGTTCCATTCTTGTTTGTATTTCATTTGAACAGAGAATGTATGCATTTCGAATAGGGAAAGTGCATACCTCCACCTGCATTTTTCAAAGGGGCATACTTCCCCTATTTAAAAAAGTTTAAAGTGCACCTTGCCTCCTGAATATGCATTTTTGAACACGAATGCAGGCTGAAGAATGCAGAAGGATTTTCTGAAAAACACATTCCCATCACATTTGCAAGCAAGGCAGGTTCTGCTGATTTGCAACTGGAATGAAATTTCCATGCATTCCCGGCTTCCTATTACTCTTCCACAGAACTAAACAAGTCAGGTAGCAACCAGCTAAATAGGATGGAGGAAGAAGTTAATGTGAACTTTCTAGAGGTGTATATCTTTGGGTCAATGCACCCCTAAGCTAGGATTTACATCACCCAAAGAAAATGCAACATTCTTAAATCTCTCTTACATTCTGCAGATCATCAAGGATGCTGTGTCTGCTTGAACCCCTGAACAGTCCTTGCATAAATCCCCAGAAACCCTATTTGAGTGTCTTACATTGCTAGGAGCCACTCTGAATGCCCCTTTGCATCTTGCAATATGTAAGAGCTGATCAGCCAGTGCACTTAAAAGTCTGGCTTGTCAGAGCCAGTGCACTTGTATGTTGGCCAATTGCAAGGCAGTCTATTCTCAGGGCATTTCTCAGGTTTCCTGTTAAAGTTCTGAGCCTGAAGTACAACAAACTGCTGCCCAGGCATCGGATTAAAGTTCAAACCAGCCCAAAGAGGAAGGAAAGGAGAGAGAAAATTAACAGGGGCCATTGGGAACCTGCAAAGGCCCAGAAGAAAATAGGGAAAAAAGTGGGGGAGTGGATAGTTTGGATCCTGGCCCTGAAAGCAAACACTACTGATTTCACTGAGGGCACAATCATATAAAAAAAGTCCTATTTTCAGTCTAAACATGCATACGATTGTGTCCTTAATGTATAGCATTGCCTCTACTTTTTTAGACAGGGTTTCCACCCACACCCACTTTAGCTGGGTCTGATTTATAGCAAGGATGGGGCACTGGCCCTCCCCAAACTGTAGACCTCCATTAATGTTTAGCTGCAGCAATGACCTTCCCCATCCATTGTCTATGTTGGGATGGGATACGGAGTATGAGGGACATCTGGAGAACTGCACTTTCCCTGCCCTCGTTTTACAAAGCAGTGTTTTTGCTTGCTCTGTGGCAAGGGCTGGCATCTAGATCCAGAGGAAATAAATGTTTGATGGGGACTTAAATAGCATTATAAAAGAATTTAGCTGCTTAGAATGGTTGCCACAATAATTCCCTCCCTGAGGCATCCCCCCTGCAGTGAAATAATGTCAAAGCAAGCAGCTTAGCCCCACTGAAGTTAGCACCTTTGGCCAGTCAGTCACTCTAGAAACAGGAGGTGACATTTTATTTTCACACACAAGGCCGGGCCTCTTCTCCAGCCCAGCTTGCTGAAGCATAAAGAAGCGGGAGGGGAGAGCCACATTGTGAATATCAAGGAAGTCACACCCAAGCTAGCTATAACTTACTCAACAATGTTTAAAAATCAATAGCAAATTTTCTATTATTCCATTCCATACCAGCCTACAGAATGCTTTTCCTATTAAAGCTCCCGGTAAAAGCAATTGCTTTCCTGCTCAGCCAATCAGTGAAACAAATCTGTATGGTTGCTTTCTACAATGACACAGTGCCCAGTGCTGTGGCAAGAGAATCTGACTCTGCTTTTTATTTTTTAATTTGTTAGCATTGTGTATTGCATTTGAGCTCTGCCTTTCTTCTAAGGAACTAAAAGATGCATTTTATAATCTCAAAACAACCCTCTGAGGTAGGCTAGGCTGAAAGAGAGCGTGACTGGCCTTCAAATGAGCTTTATGACTGTGCAGGAATTTGAGCCCGGATCTTCCCAAGTCTCAGCACAACACTACACTGCAGTAGGTTCTACTCTGGTGCAGGTAGGTAATTTTAGACCCAGGACTTAACGGCCTTAAGGATTTCTCCACAGCTAACAGTTCTCTTTCTCCTCCTCACCATTTCATGCTTCACCACCAATTCTACATTCCTGATATGGTAGAGCAAAACCCCCAGACAAAACCAAACCACATCTGCCAATTCTAAGGTTAAAAAGTGAAAATATTCTGAGCATGTGCAGTTTTGCATTTTGAACTCACTTAAATCATAGAGTTTATCATGACTGTATAATAAAACGGATCTGGCTCCGGTTGCTCTGATACTGTTCATTTATATTTGTGAATAAGCGCCATTTTGCTGTAGAATTGGTTAATAACTTTTAATGGTACAAATAATAAAATCCACTTCTGTAATCACGTACATGTCCAGGTGGCTGCTCCCTACCTCCAAAAAGTTTAAAAATCAGAGGAAAGGATGTTGCAGAGAGAAAGAATAGCCCTGAGAGATCCCACATGGTCATGCCAGGTACATTCTGGTAGTTTGGAGCCCCAAATTGATGTGGGGCTCAGTGTGGGTTCCACTTTCCTGGGGCTGCATCCCACCCAGTGTTTGAAATGGAGGCTGCACGAGAGAGGAGTTCCCAGCCCAGCCTCCTGCTTCCTGATGGAGCCGGCAGGATCAGTCCCATCCCATGCATTTTCTTGTTTCATATCATTGGGACCGTGTGGGATTCAGCTGCAGGTTAATCTTCTCAGGGAAGACAAAAATGTGAAAGGTGCTTTACAATAATCTGCCCCCTTCCTTCCATGTTCCTTGTCTACTTCTTTTCAAGGGTCCTTCCAAATGAGCATTTTCTCCCTAACTCATTTGCAGAATGTTATGGGTGCATCTGTCAAGATGTCTGCTTCCACAGGTAGCCTCCCCCTCCCCCATCTTTTCCTCATCATTTCTTCCACCCTTTTCTTACCATAGGAAATCCACTAAGGAGGGAAAGACAAAACAGCTGCATAGTGCCTTTGGTTTGCTGGCACCAGGACTCCTCCATCTAGAGGCTCTGCTCCAGGAACCCTCCCTGAAGGAGGTAAAAATGACATCTACTCGGAGCAGGGCCTTCTCTGCGGTGGCGCCCAGATTGTAGAATGCGCTCCCCAGAGAGCTTCGCCTGGTGCCAAGCCTATATTCTTTTTGGCGCCAGGAAAAAACCTTTTTATTTAAATGCTATTTTAAAAATTAGTAATTTTAATAGTTTACAGTCACTTTGATTTATTTTACTGGTTTATATTATTTATTGTAGTGTTTCATTGATTGTTTAAATTGCTGTAAGCTGTCCTGAGAGGATTGTCATAAGGACGGCATATAAATGTTTTAAATAAATAAATAAATAAATAAATAGAAGTGCAGCTCTCTGATTGATCACTTTCTCCTGTGTATATGACCTATTTTACACAATGCTGTTTGCTGCCAGTTAGCCCACTGTACCTACTTTCAATTTCATCACAGAAATGAAATCTGAGCATCACGTAGATAGCATTTATTTCCTACTTTTCCACTGCATAACCTCTAGGTGGCACTGTGGTAAAGCAGAATAACACATATCCAAGAGGAAATTGAACACTTTCACAATTTATTTCTCCCTGCTCTAGAAAACTTGCTGAAAATCCTGGGTACACAGAGAAGTGAAACCAGGGGGTGGGGGGGAGCATCACCTAAAGACCCATACATGACCATGAATTGGGGAATGATTAGCACTCATGCCACAAAGCATGCATTTCAGATACCATGATATTTACATATTGCAGTTTTTATACTGATTGACTATGAAACCTTGAATGCCTAGGCTGTTCTGCCCACCTCTCCCAACACTTTCTCCTGTGCTTTCATTTCAATATGCAGATCCTGACTGCCCCGATCTAGAAGCACCTCTTTGCCACTTAGGTCTAGTACTGCCTTATGGTGCTACATCTCAGTTTTGTTTCTTGACTGAAACATCAGATTTCATTTCCTACCCTGACATTGGCCTGCCCCCAAACTTCGTCTCAGAGAAATGACTTCGCACTGCATCTGGATAAACATCTGCCAGGGATGGTTAAGCGCAGTGACTCTCGTGTCAACACAGCAAAATTAGACTAGATGAACATCCCAGAACCTTCCAGCCCTTGCAATTCTTTTTCATCCACAAAGAACTGCCAAGGAGGACCATCAATGGTCTTTTCAGTTCTATCCTATCCGCAATGGGCACATGAATTCATGCGCCTGCTCACAACTGGCATGACTGCATCACTCTTTTAGGTTTCAGCTACATTTGCTCTGCTTGAGCGCCTTTTTCCAAGGGCTGCCCCTAAATTACTTAAGGCAGAGATGTGCAGCATGTAGATTAGGATATACTGGTCAATTGCTGGGTAATTTGCGAGAGATTGGAAAGGATTTCTGACTCCCAACTGGCAAAAGAATGACCTCTGCACAACAAGTTGAATTATACTGCTGAACTGAAGAACACTGGGGGTAAGCCTTTGGTGTGGAAGACCTGCAAGCTCCTTTCAGTTCTGCTGCTCAGAACACATTTCTGGGCTCAGAATTCTTTAATTGATAAAACACCGTCCTGTATTTGCCTATTTGGAAGTAGGTCTTATTGTACTCAGAGGGTTCCTTGAACTGAGATGAGTGAGTACGGGATTGCAGACTAAACGTGGGATCTAAATTAACTCCTCCTGTTGATGGAACAGCTTCCTCAGCAAAGCAGGTAGGGGGCAGTTCCCTTTCTTCCCCACCGCACCCAAAGTATCACATGTACCCTCCATATCTGCTCCAGAAGGCGGTAGAAAAACCTGGAGCAGATTTTTTTGCGGGGCAGTAGGCAAAGTCTTGTTGCACTGAGCAGAAGCCCCCTCACACAGATGCCCTCAGCTTTTGCCTTTTGCCCCAGGCTCCAGCTGGTTCATCCTGGGGTACTAATAAAAACTAAAATAAAACTAGAATTGCCCACCCCGCTGTAAGATGCATGTACATTTCGCACTGGACAGATGACAATAAATCAATTTTCCTACAAAGGTATCCAGCCTCCAGACCAGCTTGCAGGCTTTTTCTGAGAAAAGGGGGCACATGGAGCCCTTCTTGTGTACATCTGAAGAGGTGGGTGCATATACTTGTGTCCGCTCCAGGCTGCAGCATGAGCATTCCTAGCACTAGCAAAATGAGAAAGGTCTTTCATCAGGCAATTGCAGGATTAGGGTGCTTCCAGGCACAGGGCTCCTAGCACTAGCAGCCTCGAGTCCTTTTGCAGCTATTCCGTCTTTTCATCCTCAATGGATTTTTGTGGTAAGGAAAAAGAAGGTAAAATGCAGGAGGGTTACAAAGGACGATCACGTTGTCTGGAATTCTTCCCCTGCACTACTCCCCAGCTGCCCCAGTACATTTCCATCAACACAGAGGGGTGGTCACACAATAAAGCTTCACTGGAGCACGACTTCAGTCTAGTCTGGAATCCCAGCCCATGTTGCTCAAATTGCACCTACCCAGAAATGTGAGAGTCTTCTCTTCAGCATTACAAGGCTCTGACCACGACCTTAAGACAGTTGGGAAGAAAAGGTATGTTTGAAAATGCCGAAGGATAGAAATACTCTAACACAAGAAAGATAATATAGTAATTTAGCATTTAGATAATGTTTTGGTTTACATTCAAAGCACTTCATGCACCTATATCTTCTTGCTCTCTTTCCATGCCCCAGTAAAGTTATGCCTGTCCCAACAGCTTCCACATTTGTGGGGAAAGGCAATAGCACTTAAGACAGCTTCCGTCTTTTGAATGAAGTCAAACAGAGGTGATATTTGTAGAGTAACATCTATTACTGATATGTGCATTTAGAGAAATCTCAAGATATCCAAGTCTTCCATAAAACTCAAAATTTATTAAGATGACCAATTCATGAAAGGCTGCAATGAACAGGACATCCTCAGGTCAGGACTATTAAACAGTGAGGAAGCCATTGCTAGTGTTACTTTCAAATTTGCTCGGTGAGTAGGTAATTGCCTTCTTGTCCTGCTCATGAGCTTCCCAGAGACATCTGGTTGGGCAACGTGAGAAATAGGGTCTTGGCAAACTGGACCATTGGCTTTACCCAAATTGAAAGTAGACCATGCTTCCATTGATATAAGAATGGCTTGTAATGGCCTACCGGCTCATGACACTGGCAAGGGCAGATAAAGGGCAAATTATATTTTTTCCACATTTTTTCCACATCTACATTTCAGAGATGGCTTTGAAAAATAGTCTACAGAGACAAGCAGAAGAGTTTTACCTTGCTTTGGAAGCCTCCTCTGCAGCTAAAGGAGCAGGGTCTAACTGCAGTGAGCTTTCCTGTAAATCCTGAGAATTTTCTTCCTGTGCTTTCATTGACTTTGGGATGGGTGGGATCAAAGCTGCCCCTAAAGACCTCCTCAGATTCTCATCATTCCCACGTGGGACCTAGGGGGAAGCATGATAGGAAGGATTAAAATGAAAAAGCGACAGGAACCTCCAGTTCTTTATTGTGCTGATATTCCACCCCTCTTCCAAGGAGCTCCCAAAATCTGAGATAGGCTGGCTGAAAGAGTGGAAAGCACTGCCTGTCGTCCAGAACTTTGGCTTGGAGCGCCTACAGCCTGCAGCCCCCAGTTTGCTTGCATGGCTCCATCAGCTCCCAAGGGCTCTGTCTTGTTCATGAAGCTTCACAAAACTCTTTGGAAGCTGAAACAGGATGGTCTCTGTAGCCTGAAAGCTCTAGTATTTTAGCAGAAGTACTCCTTTTTCCAAGCTTTGAATTGACATTGTTCACATCACCGGTAGTGTGAGAGCTCCCTCTACTTGTCTTTCCTCCCCTTCTTTGCTAGGAAAATTTCAGCACTCTATTCTTTTTTTTTGAAAAATGCTACTGGAATAAATTTAGATCACACTCTCCAGGATGTATCTATTATTCCTGCCAGACAGCCTTGAGCTCCGGCCAATTTTGCAACTCCTTCGACCTTCCATCAAAATCTGCTTCTCAGAAGTCTATTAATTTTTTGCATTAGTGCTCCTCCTGCTGGCCCTCATCCGCTTCTCAGCCTAGATGATAAGGTGTGATCACCAGATCCTGGGTCCGCTCTAAATGCCACTTCATAATTTGTCATATCTAACTTGCTGCAAGTTATTAACTCCAGGGAGCTTCATATCTCATTGGTCGTACTTCATAAAATACACATGATCTTCCAGGGAAACGATTCCAGCATCAGAAAGAGATTTCTAATGCAATGTGCCTCACCCAGCTGCTGTGTCAATAAAACCAGCCTGGGCTACTCTGGCATGTAAAATTCATTGTCTAGGTTGACCGGGAGCCTTCCACTGGTGCCAAGAACCAGGTCCCCATTCGGCAGGGAGGAGCAAAGAAGAGCGTTGCTGTAAGAGTGGTCACTTATTGCCGGAAAAGAGGAAATGCCTCATCAAAACTGAGGGCAAAGGAGGAGGCCACCATTCCTGATGTGTGCACATGCAATTTAAAATAACTATGGTTCAGATAGAAATGCAGTACGTCTTGCCATAATTGAGAAGAATGACCAGGTCACCTGTGTAACCAGTCAGACTGCTTGGGATTCTCCCTGCTCCCCCACTTGACCTTAGACCAGACTTTGATGGGACACCTTCAAATAGAGGGCTGTCCTCTGCCAGCTGTCCGAATTATTTTTTTTCCAGAGAACTGCCACCTTATGTAGGCCACCTGGATATCTGAATCCCCGTCTGCCAGGCAGGCAACAATGGCATGAAGAGCAGAAGCTCCTTTTATATTACTCCTCTTATATACTATTCAGAAGTAAATATATAAATTAGTTGATTGGATTTTATGGCAAAATGCCATCTAGGCCATATATTGGACTCCTCTGTGTTTCAGGCAACCTTTTCAGCAATTCCATTCAATCCATGCAACAACAAAACATAATATTCTGTCAGCAAGCAGTTTCCAGCGATTCCCAAGTTCTTGAAAGAGAGAGACAGAGAGCGCAAAAGGGAGCAGGGGAGGACAGGCAGTCAATATTTTTAACAAAATGAAAAGCAAACAATGACTGAACAGTGAATTCAGAACATATGTGGTGGCTGGTTGCATACATAAATTCAACGAACAGTTAGAAAACAAGGGCCGTTGAGCAACGAGAGAGGAGCACTGTATGCAGGAGCACTGGTGGGTGTCACCTCGGCAGATCCTTGCGACTCCACGCAGGGCCAGTCCAACTGGCCTGAGCACCTGAGAGCATCCCGGAAACCGATGCCCAGAGGAGAGAGGGGCTCAGCAGAGTTGTATTTCCCAGGCAGCCTATGCTAACCTGCTACCTTCAGGTGAGGGGACGGATGCCGTCTCGTCTCATCTCCTCACTGCTGATGAAGCAAGATTCGACAGCCTGCCCTGTCAATTCCTGCAGAAGGAATGGAGGGGTGTCCTCTTGCTGAGGTAGCACGAGGTCTTCAGCCAGCCCTGACTCCATGTTCGGTTCACAACTGAGCCAGGCAACTTTACTTCCAGCAGTTCCTGAGGGATGCATCCAACCTTGGTTGGACTGTACTGGATGAGACCATTAGCACATCAACTTCCCAATGGAGCAGTGGGTGTCCCCCTGCCTAGCAAGGGTAAGCCAGCAGCCTCTGACTTTGCTCCTGTAGCTGTTGGGCTGTTCAAAACCAGATTCTTCTCCCTCTCCCCCTCTTTTGCACACAATACAGAGAACAGAACACAACTATGTCTGGCTTTCACACTCCTCTGAACTTCCCAGTACTGTTCTGGGCTCAAAAATATATACAAAAATACACACAAAAATAGGTTTTTTAAAATGTGTGTTTCAACTGTATCTTTGGCTTCTGCAGTGTCCTCTGCTATTTAACTGAAGACTAAATCAAGTGCATCTGTGTGCAACTGACTTTGTTGGCAGACAAACCTTAGCTCCTCAGGTTTGGCTTTGTTTTTTTAATAACAAAAACATAAAACGATGAGCCCATACCCTTCTAGAAGCACAAAATGTCCCAGGCACAAGCAAGACTGTATGTCAGCATCTTTGTTGGTCTCTACCTGTTGGGCGGCTGTGGACGATGCTGGGCAATTGCCTCCAATTCCCAGGGAGTCTGTGCCATTTTCCAGCAATTGCTGTTCTCCTCTGTGGGCTCCGACGGTCTCTGGGGAAGCGGGGATGCTCTGAATAGGTGGCATGGGCTTGGAAGAGATCAGCAGTCTTTGAGAGGCAGATCTAGAAAGGGCTGGCTTGAGGGCAAGTCCCTTGGGACCAGCAGATTCTAGCAAGCCTATAAATACAAACACACACCATCAAAGGGACATTTCTCGTTGGAAATACTAGCAGGCTGTTTTTGTGCTAGTATTTCTCAGTCACAATGAGTGGTTCATGTCAAGAATGGTTATCTATTTAGGAAAATCCTCAAAACTGGAAAATGCCCTTAGAAAATATAACCTTAGCTGGAAAGGGTGAAGAAAATCAGTTTTAAAATATCTTTGATGGCACCCAGCATGGGTGTCACCCAGTGGAAGACCACCCATAATAGCTGGGTGGCATCTAGATATTATGAAGTCGGGAGTAAACGAAAACTGAATCACATACTACATTTTGAAGTGTATCTGAAAACACTTTGTGTGTGCACCTCAACCACGCAATCAGTGCATGCAACAAGTATGTGCTTTCAACCACAAGTATCTCACAACAAGGAATTAATGTCAGTGAAGGCATCCTACTGCATAAACCCAGAAGGGCAGACTAGACTACGTTGTCACCTCATTGAGGAACAGTCTTGACTCTTGTTTAGGTAGGGCTGGATGGCTGAATGTGTGAGTGGCTCTGAGTTTCATACACTTGGGGCACAGTACTATGACCTCCATGTCAGGAGCTCATGAGCCTCTAAACTCAGAAGCTTAAGAAATCCAATGCGAAGTGAGAGGCCATTGGTGGTGATCCCTGTCATTATGCCTCACACCATGCATTTTATCAAGAGAGCCATTTTAAACTCTTTAGTTTTAGTGCTGCGAAGGGAAAAGAGGCTGGAGTGCCAACTGGAATCAGCATAACTCTGTAGCTCCTCTCTCTCCAGCCCCCAGCACATCCCCTTTCCTCCCCCTCTGGGGTGCAGTTATGAGGGGATGACACAGTTCCTTCTGTGCAGGCTGCAAGGGAGCAGGGCAGGGGCTCTGCATTCAGAGTCCCCACTTCAAGACTGTAGGACTCTGAAAAATCCAGTGACTTCTCAGACAATCCTGGGAGGCCATAGGATAGCAGGAATGATAACCTTGAACCTCTTTCAGAACCAAGGGCCAACATCCATTCCAGAGAAGCTCTTGGAAGTTCTCTGCCAGGGATGGGCAAGGCCAGGTGCAACAGGGGAAGAGGCCAGAGTGCAGCCAAGATACCAACAACCCATTCAAGGTTCATCACCCCTGTCCTACAGCATCACCCACTGGCATACTGATGGCCAAACTGAGCTTCGTAGCACGTTGTTTAATGCTTCAACTGAAACTATTTATTTATTTTATTTATTTGAAGAACATGCCCCTGCTCTTCAGTTGAAATAGGCTACTTTAGAGAAATACATCCACAGCTCTCATTACAAGTGCCCTGCAATTTATCTGTTGCCAGGCTGGTTGATCAGTTTAGGTAACACTGTAAGTTTTTAACCATTCTACCTTTGTTCAGTTTAACATAGCAGTTTACTGAGTGTTAAGCCTCAGACGCGGGAACCAGTGGTTCAGGTCCCATGGCGCCCTAGGCAAGCCTCTGCTTTCCATCTCTAAAATGGGGATAAAGCAACCTACTGCAAGGGATTGCTGTAAAGGTGCAAGCTATGTGAATTTAAAGTTTTTCACACAGAGGAGTCACAGTTATCCTCATCACCACCACCATTCTTTTTTATCAGAATTATCAGGAAAGCATCCACCATACCTTTATTTGTTGTGAGTATGCCATCGGACGTTCTTCTCTTCTTGAGCTTGTCTTTGATCTGTGCAGTCTCCATGGCTGCACTGCTTGCCTCCAGCTGACCAGAGTCCTGCTTGGGCTGCACTCCAGGCAGCTGTGAAGAGTCACCCATAGTTGCCCTGTCTGTATTCGTCTTTGGAAGGCTTCTGCTGTCCCAGCTCTCCAAAGGGGAAATATATGGAGGCTCTCCTTTGCCTCCCCACAGACATGCTTGGTTCTTTAAAATTGAATGAAGAGAAGCTAGGAAGCAATTTAACAAGAGGGGCACAGTTACTCAACCAGTCCCTGTACTGAGGAATCCAGCTGAATAGCTGTTAATCTGCAGCGTCTACTTCTCTTTTTCTCACAGAATTGAGATAGGCACTACCCTGGGAGTTTTCTGCTTTTCCACTGTATAATCTCTAGGTGGCACTGTGGCATAACAGAATAGTTCAAATGCCCAAGGAAATGGCACCTCCTTTTGCTTTCTAATTAAATACCACATTTTCCCTGCTCTGAAGTGATTAGTCATAGAAGCAAAATTGGAGGATCACAATAGCTTCTAAAGAATCCATAAACAACTGCGAATAGGGAATGAAGAGTAAATGATAAATGCCTCATGCAGAAAAATGGAAGCAAGAACATTAAAACCAGGGACCCAAATGCTGGGAGCTGAAGGACTTTTTTTCTGTCTAAACTTACATAGAATTGCGCCCCAAAAAAGTAACAACCAACACATGAAAAAGATGAGTCTTTGCCCTCTTCCTCAAGGCCTAGAGAGTGGGAGCAACTGTAGCTCTTGTAGGAGTGCTATTTATAGCTTGGAGACAACAGAGATGAAAGCCCTTTCATAGTGCCCAACCAGTGAACCTCTCTGGGTCGTGGTGCCTTCACGAGAGCCTCCACTGAAGATCTTAATGCCCAGATCATAGCAAGTTCATAGCAAGGCAGGTGCTTCCTTTTGATTAAGGTGGGCAGAGCCATGGACTGTAGGCTCACCAGGTGCCAAGGAGAAATGGGCTCTTGCATCCTTCCTAATACTGCAGAACAAGAATTCTGGCAGGTGTAGCTTGTCATCCAAAGGTGAGAGAAGCAGTGGCTGCTGAGATTCCCTCTGCTACCCATCCTGCCCTCCGATGCATGTGCTTACCCTAATATCTTAAGACTTGCAAAGCCATTGCAAGAGAAGTGAGAGAACTCCTCTGGCCTTTTTGTACACCAGCCAGCTGGTGTAATCAGCCCCACAATGTCCATGATTCTGTGAGGGATGTATTAGCTTCCAAGTACAGAGAAGTTTCCAATGTATCTCCAGAAACAACACCACACTCTCCTTGGCACGCAGGCAGTTAGGAAGCTGCTTTATATTGATTCAGGCCCTTAGTGCATGTAGCCCAGTACTGTTGGACACTGACCGGCAGCAGCTCTCCAGGGTTGCAGGCAAGAGCTTGTCTTGCCTGGAGATGCTGGGACCAAGTCTGGGACCTTCTGCAGGCCACAGAGATGCTCTGCCCCTTTCTTCTAGACCTTTGCAACATCAAGTGTTGCCAAGCCAATGGCTCGATGAGATCTGGAGGCACAAGCTAACCGGCTTTATTTCTGCTTTATTTAAAGGTGTGGAAGAGCAGCAAGCTACCCTGCCTCAGCTCCCACACTTGCAACGCATGGGCCAATGGAAAAGTCTAGCAGGAGGCTCCCAAAAGGCGAATTCTGGCGCAGCCTTCCTCAGCCTGGTGCCCTCCAGATGTCTGCGAGAACAACTCCTCAGTTACCTGACCATTGGCCATGCTGGCCGCAACAGGTGGGAGTTGAAGTCTAAACCATCTGGGGGGCACCAGGTGGGATGGGCAACACTGTTGTAGTAATCACGGATGTCACGGACTTAAGCCAGAGCAAAAGTCTGCCGCCTACAGGGCTGCAATCCCCTGGATGTTCGCTTGTGAATAAATGCCCCTGAACATGGTGGACCTGCAGTACTTCCAAGTCAACGTGCACATGTATTGGGTATCAACAACCAAATCTCTCTCCTGAGTGCCAGACAAATTGAGCTGTCCCATCTTCCTGTTTACCAGTGGGGTTAATAGTGGAGTTTTCCCCTTACCGAGATCACAGATCATACTCAGGCCTAGAACACACATCACTCCTGCTCTGCATCATCCTCACCATCATCTGCCGTCACCCATCCAGTCCCATGGAACGTCAAAGTAGAATCGAGGCTCCCCCCTCTCAGGGCTCTGCATCCGGGCTTCACTTTGGGGATGCTCCCACAGTATATTGCAACAGGGGCTTGGTATTTAGCTTGGAAAAAAGAACAGCAGCGCGGGTGAAAGAAAACATCATGGTGAGAACTAGGTGTCCTTGTGCAACGGTTTGGCGCTGGCTGCAGGCCACTTGTGACTGGGTGAGATGAGTTAGGATCTTTCATGCTCACCGATCACAGTCTGACTTTTGGTCTGAGATCTTGGTTATCATTCACACAATCCTGAGTACAGATAGATGACCATTATTTCCACTAGATTCTGTCTCCCCACCACCTCAATTTTTAGCAATTTTCATCTCTCGCTGCAATCCCACCATACCACATCCAAGACTTTTCCTGGATCCCCCCAACCTGCCGGTGAGAATCTTTGTACAGGTGATTTGAGAATTGCCGGAATGAGGAATTATCAGCCCAAAAGAAGACAAAAGTGGACATTGATTGGAATAGCATGCCAATATGCAAAATTATATGAATAAGTACAAATTTAGGAAACACTATAAGTTAAAAAATGCAGTACATCTCATCACAGTGAGGAATGACACAAGGCATTTAACCCAGCACTTTCCAGAAGACTTCTTCTATCCCTTTCTTTGCAGGAGGGTTGGAGCATCGCTCAGCTGATGTCCCACCACCCCACCACCAGGGGCTTTTCTCTCTGCTTTTGTACATGTTCCTTCATGTTACATCACACAACACAGGTGGTGTTGTGGTACAGAGCAGAACTGCAGAATTACACTGCATCATAATGGCAGCATCCTAGAAAATAGTCAACTTTTCTTGCTCCAAAAACTCTGCAGCTTGGCTAGAAAAGAAAGGGAGAAGGTTGCAGGAGGGGTGCAACAGCACAAGAAGGACCCACCAGTTTTGGTGAGTGAGGATCACAAGTGCACATTCTTGTCCCCGTTCTGCTTCTTGTCCCAGTGGTCTTTGACTTGAAGTTAGCCTTCCAAAAGAGGAACTCTGCAAACAGAAGACTGTCCTCTGCCAGGTCTCAAAAATACAGGACTGTCTTCTGTAAAGTAGGACACCTGGCTACTCCTGGTGTCAGGAGAGCCCCAGTGCACAACAAGAAAATCATCATGAAATCCTGCGTATCTATTGCAATTGATGAAACTATTTGGGGAGAATGTTTCCCTTTATTTTCCGGAGTATCTACCTCACCCCAGAGTCCAATCTTAGTGCAAGTGATCTCTAGGGATGTGATAACTTTGCAGAGAACTTCGGATAGGAATAGGAAAGGAATGAGGGAAGGAAGGAAGGAGGGAAGAGGAGGAGGAGGAGGAGGAGGGAGGAAGGGAGGGAGGGAGATAATGTATGCCAGATGCTTACCTGCTGCAAAATCATCATGTGCGGCCATGAGTACAGAAGGATCCAGGGCACCTCTAGAGCTAAGAGACAACTAGTTTTCTTTCTTGTTATGGATTGCACCACTGCTGTTGTTTCTCTCCAAGTACATCCAAAGGTCTGTGAGGAAGAACAACACAAACATCACAGGGGATGATATTCTCTGCACTGGTTGTAATTTGTCAGCCAGCAGGACTCCTGAGCGCTCCATTAAAGACTACAGACTGCTTCATACATCAACCATTTCCTCCCTAGAACTCATCTCCATGTAAGGAAAAAATGCAAACACCATCCTGAATGAAGTTGGCTTCATGCCATTTTTATCTTACCACAAATGCAGAGCTGGGGGATTGGGACACAAATATATAGGTGAAGACAAAGCAGGCCAGGACTGGCCCCTGTGGGGAGCAGTCCCTTACCCGAGCAAAAGCCTGGAAATGGCAGGGGTGCGAAGCTTGCATGCAATGCAAGGACCCCCTCCAGTTAGCAGAAGTCCATGTGAAAGCACAATTGAGCAATGCAATCCATCGCTGCTGGACAATGGTTTGGTTTGGTTTGGTTTGGTTTGGTTTGGTTTGGTTTGGTTTGGTTTGGTTTGGTTTGGTTTTTTAGAAAAACCAGCTACAATTTTTCAGCAACCCACCTATGAGGTCAGAAAAAAGCTCTGACCTTGTAGCGAGTCCTCCAAGCTTGGATCACCCTCCAAGCATCCAAGCTTGCACCATTACAATATAATATAATATAATATAATATAATGCTATAGAAGAATACAATGCAATGGAAAACAACAGCATGGTGGTGATCTGGCACTGACTTAAAAGACTGGAAAGGTGTGCTTTGCATCCTCTTTTCATTTGCATGGCACATGCATTTAAGCACTATTGCATGCTTGTTTTAGTATTAAAAATATTAAATTGCAAATTAAAAGGCTACCTTGAACAATGCAGCTAAAATGGGACCAACTAGAAACAAAGCTGTCAAGACACACAGATGGATGGTGATAGCCTTACGCACCTTATACATCAGCAAGGATGGATAGATCGCTCTTTTTCTAGTCTCTGTGTCAATTTTGCATGAGTTCATAAATTCATTCTGTCCGTTCAGCATTCACTGAACATTGTTTTAGTCCACATAAAACACCATTTAAATTGCATTTAAATACTTATTTCTTACAAAATGCTCATTTCTAATTTACTGATCCTTAGGGCACTTCCTGATGAGGCTTTTCTTGCACAATCACAGGGCCTCATTAGTTTTTATCACTGCTGCGAGGGGATGAGGAACAATTGGAGCTGGTGACACTGGTCGTGAGAAAGGCGAGGGAGGGTCCTATTGAGGATTTCTTCCCCAAGGGCCCTCAAAAACCAGGAGCCAACACCAAATGGACCCCACAACAGAATACTAGATTCCCCCCTAAAAACTGAGTGTCCATTCCAGCATAAATTGTGAGGCTAAAATTACCCTGCATCTATGGATATCTTGCTGAAAGGTCCATTTCGCTGATATTGCAGCTTGGGGTACAGTTCACATTCATTTCTGTGGCAAGGAAAATGAGTTATGATGATAAACACCTTTGACAATTCTACAGACAGACTGTAGAAGGGGGAGAGTCAGTTCCACAATAAACCAAATATGGCAAGGCCCCAAAGTGACTGATTTGTGAAGGAAAATGGGATGTATCACCCTTGGTTCAACCATGACAAAATAGCATGAGTCTGTAATGGAACAACCAGAAGTATTTATTCATTCATTCATTCTTCCACTAAAAATGAAATATTGAGAATACCTCTATATATGCCTCCACATGAAATAACTGTACAAGGATAAAATACCAGCCAATTAACTGTAAATTTAAATGAGCTGACCATTTATTAATTTATTTATCAATTTATCACCCTGCAGTCTGTCAGCCATTTCTCAGGCGGCTTCCCTATGCAGCGATATATTTACAGTTCCTCCTATGTATTATGTACTGCTACATGAATTCCTAAATTTAATCACTTGCAGGTCTAGGTTAGTTTCAAATGCTAAATCTCAATGCCCCTCAAGCGACTGTGAAGTTTTATGCCGAGAAGAAAAACTCATCTGAAAGCAGACAGTATGTGGGGCGGCAAAACCAAGTGGCAACAGGTGTGCCCACGGAATCAGCCCCCCATGATTCCTCTCGCTCTTCTTACACCCACGTGCTTCTCATGTGCAAAATGAAGGGATCCTTTTCTTGCTTTGTCATGATAAAAACTATGATGGGATGAGAAGGTGGGAAGGCTGCTGAGTGAGTGAAGGGAGCCCTTGGCAGGACAGAGAGCACCATTTTAGTCTCAAGCATCTCTGCTTCTCTCTGCACCCCTCACTTGATGGTTGGCTGGTTTTGCTGCTGTGACATAATAGAGAGGCTTGCCAGCATCTCTTAATGCCCAAGAAGGAGGAGATTTTGACTCCTGGAAAATTCTTTTTTCAAATTTATGTCCTGCTATTTCTTCCTGAAGGCTAAATGAAACTCTCCACCATCATGATAATCCACTAATGAACACCATACAGTTTCCACTGTGTTGAAAATGTGATCTTGCGTCACACTGAAAGGCGATTGCAGAAGTGGGAAGAACTGGCAGAGAAATGATGCTCCAAACCAAACTTTTTTTTCCGAGTCATTAGCTATACAAAGTCTGAAGGAGCTAACGGGCAGAGAATTTTTTTTAAAGGGAAAATAATCACAGCTGCTCCTAGCCCCTCACAAAACACCATGGAGTGGGAAAAACAGATGGGGAGAGAAGAGAAGGCTGTACTCCAGCTTGCCACCTTTCTCCCACCTCCTGTGGAGTAAAACCAGCTGGATCATTCCCCTCCACACAAAAGCAAGGGCAGCTGCTGCTCCCATGCTGCCTTTCTGAAGAGTGGGTGTCATCAAAGTCAATGTGATTCACCTTTGAGTTAGCACCACTGAGAAGATTGTGACTTACTCCTGAGTAGACATGTCTAGAAGCACCGATGAAACTAATGCAGTTTACTTCTGAGTAAGTGATGGTGTGATGATGTGACTTACTCCTGAGTAGGCATGCAGCTGTTCCTTACATGGGGAGGGGGAGGGGGAGGGGGAGGGCACCACTGCATTTCCCCTCAGCAAGTCAGAGAGGGAGAGGCTGGGGACAGGGAGGAGGTGGGAAAGCAGTGGAAGGCAGACTGGGCTTTGCCGCTTCTCGGAGTTGCTGCTGTGCCATCCAAGGTGGATCAGGCACTTCTTTCATCAGCCCTCCCCCACAGCCCTCTGGTCAACTGAACTCATTCCCCCTCCCGGAACAGTACCACAAGCTTAGCACACTGGAAATAATGCAACATATATTTAAAAAGTTGTGGTCTGACTGGTCTGAAGAAATTTGGGGCATAATGGCAGAAACAGTGCAAGGAGGGTGGTTTGGGGTCAGCATCCTGTGACATGTCAGTGGTTCAGGCATTAAAATATCAGTAAAAATGCCAAGTGCATATCCCCTCTGTGCACAGGAACCTTGAACACACGGGAGCCACTGAGCACAAATTCAGCCAGTTCCACGCATTCGTTTGTACCCTTCATCATCTTTAGACTTTGATTCAATGACTGGAGAAAGGAGTTGGGTGGCACCCAGAATCCCCAGCCAAAACTTCCAAGTGATAGATGTAATTGCTGCACTTTATTCTACACTGCAAAGAGATCAAACCAGTGACTGCTCAACCCCGACTGCTCTTTAGAAGGCCAGACACTGAAGATGAAACTCAAATACTTTGGCCACCTAATGAGAAGGATGGACTCCCTGGAGAAGACCCTGATGCTGGGAAAGATTGACAGCAAAAGAAGAAGGGGACGGCAGAGGGTGAGGTGGGTGGGTGGAGTCTCTGGGGCAGTGGGTGTGGGCTTGGGTGGACTCCAAGGGATGGTGGAGGACAGGAAGGCCTGGAGGAATGTTGTCCATGGGGTCAAGAAGAGTCAGACATGACTTAGTGACTAAACACAGCATCTTAAAGCCATCAAACAGAAGAGAGCAAAGAATTATTCTCTGGTGCTCCTAAAGCCAGGTCCAGCTTTAACAGGTTTAAACTACAGGACAGTAGATTTCAGCTGAGCATTTAGGAAAACTTCTGAGTGATAAGAGCAGTTATACAATAAATGGCAGCATTCAGCATAAATGCCAGGCTTCAAAGTTTATACTAATATGAAAATCAAATAGGATCATCTGATGAAGTTGAATTCAGGATAGAAAAAGCAGTGCTCCTTCAAACAGTCCAGAGATAAATTATTAAATCCACTATCCTATGGGGTGGTAGTGGCAACCTTTTCAGGTGCCTTTAAGAGAGGATCTGCCAAATTCATGGAGGCCAAAGTTATATATGGCTGCTAGTCGTGATGGCCATGTCTGTATTGCAGATAGTATCACCCTCAGTGGATGGCTGAGGAAGCTGGGAATTGTAGTCTAACACAACTGAAAGGTATTACATTGGAGAAGGCTGGATTTATCTTATAAAGGATCTGATTACATCTCACAACAGAGGTGAAACTTAAGCACATTCAGTTTTTATCCAGGTAATATGAATCCAAATTATCTTAGTTATGTGGGTGGGAGAATAGAAAGGAAGCTAGTATAGACTAAAGGTTTTTTTAAACATCCTTTAAGCATTTCCAGTGGATTGCCAGGGACATTGTAGGTGTTGCCCTTGATAAATGGAGCAAAGTGAGGATATGGACAAAGCATATTTGAGTGACTTCTGGACAAGATCCTAATCTAGAACTCACTGAAGTTAACAAAATGCACTTTGTTGACAAGTAGCAATGCTCTCTAGATCCAAGCCCCAAGGAAGTATAAATGAAAATATACTTTCTGTTCTTGCTTCTTTGTTTGCTTAACTGCGAAAACTTGCAGAAAGATCTATCAGCCACCTTTCAGAAATCAGTGTATCTTGGCCACAACTCTAGTGGAGACAGTAACAATATGTACTCTGAAAAGACTGGGCACAATGCTTGAATAATCTGTAATGTCCTAAGCCTGG